AGCAAGTTACGTAACTTTGCTCCCGGGTCGTTGGGACGGCCATTAAAGGTTATTCGCGGGGGTAGTGGCTGGGTGTCACATAACTTTTCACGCTCAATGCATGTAACATATTGTAAATTATGGGCTATTGTAGTAGATAAGCATATACAAGTGCAGTTTACAGGTGGTAGTTTAAGTAGTACTTGAACTAATTGGGGATTGCTTTAAGAAAGATTTTAGAGATGATTTTCTTAACTGAAACACCATTATCCTTATTTATATTACACAAAATTATTAATTGTTATTCAGACTTATAATATAGCATACTTTTGAGAGTTACCTTTGTTGCAGTCCTTTCAAATTAAAGGATACGAGTTAAGTCTAAAGATTAATCCTCGTTTTAAGTTGGTCAACTCAGAAAGTAGTTTGGCTTAGTTGGAGTTCTGCTTTCTATTGCAATCATCATGTCTTCTCGCTCTTGCCACCTTTCCAATTCAATTAAACGAGGGAAAAAATAAATGAATAGCCAAGAAGCCGAAACACCCACACAGCATTGCGGGAAAAGAGAGAGAACTTTGAGAAACTGGTCTGGCCGCGGATACTTGATATCAATATGCATGATATGCATGCATAAATTACGTATACGACATGTTGTTCTGCCAGCAGTGGGCTATCTTGCCACTCTCTTTCGCCTGACCTGCATTTCCCCGATTGGCGATTCCAGTCCCGACTTGAAACCCAAAAAACTCGAAAAGCCTTGGCACATTTGTCAAAAGTGCAAAACAAAAATCGCACACAAATGCTTAAATAATTTGAATAGTTCCCCGTTCATAGCAGAAGGCCACAAATTAAGCCAGCAATAAATAACAAATCAAAAAGAAATGACCAACGAAAAAGTCAAATGAAATTCAGTCAAAGAAGACCCGCAGCCCCAAGAAAAAAAACACTGCCAAAAGAATTGGGTCAGTAACACGCCGAAAAAAAGAAAATAAAACAAGTCGAAGAGGAGGAGGAGGAGGAAGAGGAAGAGGAAGGAGCAGGCACACAAAGAAAGAAGCAGATCCAAAAGCGAGGCACGCAAATAAAAAGTCAATTGAGCGTGGTCATAGCTACAAAACCAAACTCGTATAAATGGTAAAAAAAAAAAAACAATGGCAATGACGCGACAATCAGGAATTTTTTCAAATGTTTTAGGAAGTTCAATGAAAGCAGAGCGACGCAAAAAAAGAACGCACGACAAATTTTTAATTAAAAACAGCACATCAAATAAATTGCACAAATTTGGTGACCCAATTTTTAAATCACTTTGTTTTCTATTCATCTATTTATATTGAAATTATGACGGCAGAAAATAAAACAAACAAAACAAAAAGCAAAACAAAGGCAAAGTCAATGAACTCTTCAAGCCCTTGCACAGCTGCGTTCAAATTAATAGGAGTAATTAAAGGAAAAGACTAGTATATGCTTAAGAACTTTAAGGTGGAGAGTGTATTCTCTGAAATTCTAAATTATTGACAAGCTAACTAGTTTTTAAGTCACATTAACTTAGTGACTGAAGTGGCAACTATGTCACTTTTAAGGCTACTTTAGAATATTTAGAATATTTTCGGTTGTATTGCTGGGCAAGATAGGATAAAGGATTAAAATTGTGAACTCGTCTGTTTATACGATTTATACGTATCAACGATCATCTGTTTTATTTGGCAACTTGTTTAATATCGGTCAACGTATTCACAAATACAATGGGCAACAAAACCCATATTAAATACGACAAAAAACGAGATAAGAATTTAAAAAATTTTTCTTTTGATTGCGTGCTACACACATACACACACACACACTTGCACACAATGGGATCTGTATGCAATGCCAAACTTTCACGTAATTTTTGCGATGTCTCCATCCTGCTCTTTCTCCACCTTTCTCTCTCCCTCTTTGCGTGTGTGTGAATTATATTATTTTGTTGTTGCTGTTTTTGTTGTTGTTGTTGCTGTTGTTGGTTTATTTTGGCGTCTGTTTTGCTTGTTGTAAGAGTCAATAACCTTTTCGCGTATTCAAGAAGCCAGTTCCAGTTCCTCGAGGAGAGTTCCCCAAGAAAGCGACGCCAAAAAACGAAGATTTAGTTTTTTTTCCGCTTTGTTGCTGGCCTTAATCAAGAGCCGAAAAAAGAAATAATGAATGGCATCATAGCCGTGGGTTAGGTAAATTGTTACCCGGTTACTTGGTCAGTAAGTTGGCTTTCTTGGCCCCTCGGAGGAGGTCACAGCGGGCTAATTACGTAAATTATTGAGTCTGGGGAAACTTTTGGGGAAGTCGCCGTGGGGCTAATGGTCTCGCCAGCTTTTCGAGAGAGTGCTTTTAGAAGTTTAGGAAACAGATGGAGTTAAGATCGCTCAGATCAAGATTACCTAATAACAAACTTCTGTAATTGGAATAGGAAATGTTCTTGGCTAAATAAGATTACTAGTTAAAGAGTAAGGATACGTTGTTTAATCTTCATTACTTTGATGGTTTACGGTTTATCAATAAGAATTTTTTACCTTTTACTCCCAAAACATTTTTCTTCGAGATTGGATTTTAAATATCCTTTCTACAGAACTGAATTTTCCCATTATCCAAGGTCTTTGACTGTTGGTCTACGTGATCTTTGGCACGCAACCCCCGAGCGGAGCTCGAATGTCGTTTGTAAGCGGAAAGAAAGTTAAATTGACAGTTGAAGCAGGGGGCCTGCAGAAACCAGCGAACTCAAAATACTTTTCCCAGACACACCAACAGTTTCTCCCCCACAAAGCAGAAACTGAACAAAAATTTGGCTCGTGTGAAATGACCCCGAAAGTGGGGTCACGTGTTTTGCCATTTGAGCCACAAATCACTGTTCTGTGCATCGTTCGCATTTCTGTGGAAACCGTGTCAGTAGTTCGAACGCTAAGCTCATCTTAGTGGGAAGGGAAACTACTTGCAATCGCCTCCTGTCAAACTTTTAGTTTGGAAAGTTGGAGCGTCGGGGTTTCTTTCGCAAGCGAAAGTATTTGGTTTCCCAGAAACGCAATGAAAAGAAACCTATATGGTCTGAAGCTCTTAACTCCAAATCAACTATATATTCTTTCGTACTCTTGCGTCGACATTTTTATAAGCCATAAAACGGAAAAGGAACTGAAATAAAAAGGAAATCTTACAGCTGATTTTCATTAAAATATATAACTGTCATCAGGTTCTCAAAAACTGATAACAGACTGATTGGAACGTCACTAATTGCAAGTTAAAATGAAAACTTTATCCTTTTCGGTTCGGTTTGGGTAATTGAGAACTGACTATTCGACCCGGACATTGGCTATTGTAGCGGAGGGGGATCAAAGGGGGCGGGCGGGGGTAATGGGGAGCTGGGGACTGCTGACGGCAGGCAGAAAAAGCACATAAAAATAAAATGTATTCATCAGATACTTTGCATGCAGCCTGTGCGAGTGCGTGTGCCTGCGCTGGTATTGGTGTGTATCTGTGAGCTGTGGCTTTGTTTGTCGTTGTTGTCTGCTGACTGCATTGACCCCCACTCAGGCCCCCTATCTGGCCGTCCCTTTCCCCGCGGCACCGAGCCCCGCCCCCCTCCCCCGGACCGCCTCCCCCGTCCCGCTCGCACTCACGCAGCTAGCGAGTGCGGTTCAATGCACTCGACCGGACTCTCTATTTACTTTCGGCGCCTACCGGAGTCGATCGGCGGAATTTACATTTCTCTGTATAATTTGTAAATTAAATGTGCTGCTCTTCACCGAATAATTTGATGCTGCCTGGATGGATGCGGTGGTTCGGTTTGGTTTGCTTCGTTTCGGTGCGGTGCGGTTCGCCTTGGTTTGCTCGATCCACAAATAGAAATAGATGTTATAACTATAACGGCGTTATCTACGCTCTATTCATAAGGCGAAGGCCCATCTGGCCGAGTGGGATATTTAAATAAATTTGATAGGTACACAAGAACAGAGTAGAATCCACCATGCAAGAGGCTATTGACTCCCAGTGCCTCAGCCAGTGTGCGTGTGCTCGTGTCTGTGTGTGCCCTTCTGTGTCTGTGTGCGTGGTGGGAGTAAAGTCGAAGCATTGACCGAGAGTCGGGAAACAGAAGAAAGCAAGTGAGAAGGCCGCCGGCGGCTTTTCCGACTCCAAAATACCCAAGATACCATTTAAACCAAAAACTACTCAAAAGTGTTTGTTTGGACTATATAAGATTTGGAATCTGGGAAATGAAAGGGGAACAGAAAGAGAGAGAGAGAGTAATTATTGAAGTTTCTCGTACTACATACATATACTTAAAAAAAATAATAAATAAATAATGAGAATTATAAGTGATGTAAATTTAACAGCTTAAAGGGTATCCAAAATATTTTTCATATTTTCTTTGAATTCTGGAATTCTTTACCAGAAGATTTTATAATATCAACTTAGATATTCCAGTTCGAAAAACCCTATATATCCGTACTATCTCTTCGAATACTGGGTATCAGAGCATTACGAGCACGCACCGCTCCAGAACTCTCAGCTCCATTTCCACTCCGATCAACGCGCTCTCTTCGCGCTGGTGTGCGTGTGTGTGTGTGTGTGTGCGTGTGTTTGAGTGATAATGCGACCGCCACACATGTGATATCGGCGATAACAGTTGACAGTGGGAACAAGAGCGAGTGCGAGTAACTGTATTGTATATTGTATATTGTATCGCCATATCCCCCGACTTTTGTCGCACTGATTTTACTTTTGCCTTTTGCCTGCCCCGTGGGGACATTGACTTTTGTTTTGTTTTGTTTCGCACGAACATCAACAAAAGGTTTGTGGCGTTCCGTTACATGATAATGCGGGAAAAATATGGAAATTTAAGTGATAAGAATAAGGAAGCTTTTGAGTGCGTTGGGAAAATTTCACTTTAAAATCAGCTTGTGCTATTACTTTTATTCGCTCTGTATTTAAATGTTTTTATTTTGACATTTCAAGCGTAATTATCCTATCTTATCTCTATCTCTCATTATCTCCCGTTGCAGCAACTCCTATCACTTCGATAAGTGCCCGGTCAGCCCGCAGAAGCAGCATCACAACATCAACATATGCAACAGCCACCACCCACATCACCACCCACAGAGTCAGCCGCAACACAGTCTGCAGCTGACTTTTCAGAACCTGAACGTCTTGCACAACGAACGCCAAATACTTTCCGATGTGAGTGGATTTGTCAGGTAACAAGATCAACGGAACAAGAGCACCCAAAATCCAAACAAGCAACTCCATGCTGTGCTGCCAACTTTAAATTATAAATAAAGTACCTTTAAATAATAAATCGCATCCAATCTGAGTAATACAATTCTGTATAATCGATTTAAAAGTTGGTAGCATCAGCACCACTCAGCCGCCTGTAACCAATAATCCAGCGTTTCTCTCTTTCCCCAAACCACTTTGTTGCAGTCCCTGCGAGGTCCTGGCCATCATGGGTCCTTCGGGCAGTGGAAAGACCACCCTGCTGGACTGCCTCAGTGGCCAGCGGCACATTGACAGCGGGAGTGTCTTCCTCAACCGCGAGCCGCTGACCAAAAAGTGGCGCCGGAGGATCGGCTATGTTCTCCAGGAGGAGATCTTCTTCCCGCAACTGACCCTCCGCGAAACGGTGGTCTACACGGCGCTCCTCCGTCTGCCGGAGTCGATGCCGCGGGCGGAGAAGATGCGCCAGGTGGACCACATCCTGGACGCCCTGGAGCTGGGATGCTGCCAGCAGACCAAGTTCGGTGACTACCTCAACCGAGGACTTTCCGGAGGGGAAAAAAAGCGGGCGAACATCGCCTGCGAACTGCTCACCAATCCGCTGCTGATGCTCCTGGATGTAAGTTGATATCTTGCTTTCTTAAATTCTAAATTATATAATCATTTTGTTTGTAGGAACCCACTTCCGGGTTGGACAGCCACTCGGCCATCTCGCTGATGAAGGTGCTCAAGAGGTACGCCCAACTGGAGCAGAAAACCATTGTGATCAGTGTGCACCAGCCATCCTCGCAGATGTTCCACATGTTCGACAAGCTCCTGCTGCTCCACCAGGGACGCACTGCCTACTTCGGGGATGTGCACAACATCTATCGGCACTTCGAGGAAATCGGGGTCACCATCAAGCCGCACTACAATCCCGCCGACTTTGTGTGTAAGTCTAGGTTCACAGGGATTCTTTTGGATTCTTGATTGCATCTTAAGTACAAGTATTAATCACTTAATTCTACTTTCCAGTGGAGCAGTTGAAGTCGCATCCGGACATCCGCGAGAAGCTCTTCATCGCCGCCAAGGAGTCCCACGGAAATTATCTGAACAGGAACTGCATCACGAGCAGCCACAACCACCAGGTGGTCGGCAATCCGGAGGGGATTGCGAAGGGCAAGAAGCAGCCGGAGAGCATCCTGATCGACGACATCATCAACAACTACTACAACAACCAGAGGTCCGGCCGGCACCACCACCACCACCAGTACGAGAACCTGCACCACTCGGGCAACAACTGCCAGCAACTGGAGGAGGACGAGGAGGCGGCCCAGCAGCTGGTGTGGTGCGCCGCCGACTCGCAGTCGAACTTCAGCTCCTGCGCCTCCAGCGACTGCCACTCGTACAGTGCGTCCAGTCCTTCGGCGGGACACTCCGCCGATGACGAGTGGCTCTCGTACCCCACCAGCTTCCACACCCAGTTCTGCGTGCTGTCGAGCCGCAACTTCAAGGAGGCCAAGCCGCGCATGCTCTCCAAGCTCAACTGGTTCCAGACCATCGGCCTGGCCCTGATGGCCGGCGCCATCTGGTTTCAGTTACCCAGGACAGAGGAGTTCCTGCACGACCTCCAGGGTTGGATGTTCTTCTCGCAGACCTACTGGATGCTCTTCGCCCTCTTCGGGGCGCTCAATTCATGTGAGTCCTTTTCTAAAGATCGTTTACTATAATTAATCTAATTAATTTTTATAGTCCCCTCGGAGCGAGAGGTGGTGAGCAAGGAACGCCGCTCCGGGGCCTACAGACTATCCGCCTATTATCTGGCCAAGATGTGTGCCGAACTGCCTCTGGTGATCACTCTGCCCACGGTCTACCTCATGATCAGCTACCCCATGCTGGGCTGCACTAGGTAGGGATAGTACATCCAATAATAATAATGGATTATTTCATTTCATTTACTCTTATTCAATACCCGCAGCTTGAAGCTCTTCTTCCTGATGCTCATCTTCCTGCTGATCAACACGATTGTGGCCCAGAGCGTGGGCTTCTTCATCGGAGCCTGTTGCATGGACATGAATGTGAGCATCACCCTCAGTGCTCTGTACACGCTGGCCACCCAACTGTTCGGCGGATACCTGTCGTCCCGCATTCCGGAGGGCCTAAGTTGGATCCGATACACCTCGATGATCCACTACGCCTACCAGAACATGCAGATTCTCGAGTTCCGCGAGGGAGCGGCTATAGGGTGAGCAATCCTTAAGATGTAATAGAATTGTTTTAACTTTATCTAATTAACTATATTTTATTGGTTCAGTTGTGGCTCGCCAAGCAGCTACGAGATCTGCAAACAGCAGTCAACCGAATTCATTCCATACGAGGAAATACTCAAGGCCCAAAACTCGACGTCGCCGCTGTGGCTGAACACGCTGATCCTGATGATGTTCTTCCTGGTGTTCCGCTGCCTGGGGTACGCGGTGCTGCGCTTCCTGCGGTGCCCCAAGAAGACGTGATATCAACAGCTATATGGAACATCAATCAATCAATCCGAGCAGACATCGAACCAGTGATACGTAATTAGTTAATGCCTCCCGTTTCCCGTTTCCCGTTTCGCGTTTTCCGTTTCTATAACGCTACAACTGATCAAACTTGCTAAATTGCGCCAACTTGTGATTCAATTTACTTTCAAGCCACACCATTTATGTTTAGCGATTACCCGAGTATAACTACGATTATCCTTACGATCCTAAAATCCTATAATCCTATAGTTCAGTTGAGGTTTGCGGATGGGCAGTGCGGAGAACTGTTTGTAAACGTTAATATTGTTTTGTTTTACGCATTTTAATTGTTAGCCGTTTATGTTATTACTGGCTATTTTGCCGCAGGAACACGAGAATAGAGGATGGAACGCCCAACTTTATGTTTTAATGTACGTTTTAAAGCCCCAGGAAGTAATTCAGCTGTCTGCCCGATTCCCCAAACCCGCACACGTATATCTACATATCTGTATGTTTAAATCGAAAACGCTAGTAATTTTGTAGAATATTGCAAATTTTTTTCGCTTGGGAAAAAACACTGTGATTTAGTATGCTAGATTTTTAATTAGTTTTAAAGGGGCGGCACCAGCGAATGGTGCTCGTCGGGAGAAGTGTAAAGCAAATAATGTAATTACAAATGGAGGAGATCCGCACAAATGTGCATGAGCCTACGGCCTAAATTGTATTTTGTTTATATTATCTAATTATATGTAATTAAACTTATTTAAATATACATGCAAATGTAAGCTGAACTAAATGCGTTCTCTAATTGGCATGTTAAAGTGAATTCATTGGGGCAACTAATTAATTATGTATGTGAATCATGCATGACTTTATTGAAAATATTTACGTTACACAAGTTCAGTCATCCAGCATGGACTTCCCCTTGGTTTCCTTCATGAAATATGTAAAGAAAACAAATGAAAAGGCTGTGACTCCCGCACAGGACCACATTGTTGCCGAAATTCCCCACTGTTTCATGCAAATTGGGAATATGTTCAGCATGACAAACACAAAGCTGCTGCAGACAACAATTGCCATTGAGGCTGCCTTGGCACGAATCTGGAAATCACTCCGTAATGCATTATAATTAATTGCGATTAAATTCGGTTTACGCACCTTCACAGGAAACATTTCCACGAGGCTGACGAAGAAGCAGCCCACCAGCCCGATGTTGCCCAGGAAAATGTCCAGCGACATGAGGAGCAGGGGAATCCAACTGTACTCGCTGACGTCATGGCTCTGGGCGTACTGTGTGAAGAACCCGAAGGCGGTGAGGCTGACAGCCACGCCCCCCGTGGAGACCAACATGAGGAGCTTGCGGCCACAGATGTCGCAGAGCAGAGTGGTGACATAAGTGCCCAGGATCTGCACGGCTCCGATGATGATGGTGCAGGTGTCCGGGTCCATTGTGCTGCCCGACTTGGCGAAGATGTCCGACATGTAGTTGACCATGGTGAAGAGTCCGCTGAACTGGTTGGCCACCAGGAGTACGAAAGCGGGTCCATAGGCTCTAAGGGCAGGTCGCGACACTAGGAAAGTTCTTATTTAATAAGGACTATTTAATCAGGAATATTTATTCATTATTCAACTTACAGAAGTCCCTGTAGGTGATATCATCCTGCAGTGAATCTCCCTTTGTCAGGGCAATTTTCATGACCTCAAACTCCTCCATTGCTTTATTTTGCTCGTGGATATTATCGCTGTCCTTGATGTTCTTGTAGTAGCGGAAAGATCTCTCGGCGGCCGAGTACTTCCCCTTTCTTATCAGGTGCATGGGCGATTCCTTAATGAACAGCAACACGGAAACTAAATAGAATAAGGGCAAGATCAGCACTATCCAGGGAATCGAGTAGTACGTCATGTGGGTGCCCATTATATAGCCCACTAGAACGCCAACGTTGACCGATAACATGACCATGGCTGAGAAGGTTCCTCGAATTCTGTGGGTGGCAAAACACATAGAGATTAATGGTGACTAACACCTCTTGCCAACTAAAAGTATGAACTAACTCCGCTCAAATGGCTTTCATTCCGTGACGTAAAAGCCCGGCCATATCTCATGCCGACGACAATCCCCGCGCGACAAGCCATAAATTATCCACTTACTTGGCATCTGCGATCTCACTGAGGAAAATGGGGTGAACAATGTACATGCCGCCGCCACAGATGCCAGCGAGAAGCCTTCCCACGTACAGGTACTCCACACTCTGGGCGAAGTAGACCAGGATCCAGAGGCACTGAAAGCACACACAATGAGAGTTAGGAGGTCCTTTCACTCCCTTCGATGTTGATTAATTACCGAGTGCGGCAGGGCGATGAACAGCAGGCACCTTTTGCTGCCGAGCCGCCCGAGCAGGCAGCCTATCAAAATGTTGCCCGTCACGGAGCCCATGCCCAGCATGGAGCCCACCCAGGACATCTCGAACTCCGACTCCACCCGGAAGCCCACCTCGTTGTCCGACTGCAGTTTCCGCAAGGTGGGCGACAGCCAGCCGATGCCGATGCCATGGGAAACGGATATCAGATTAACTGCTCGGGGAATTTCAATAAAATATTGTGAGAATTGAATTTACATTACTCACTTATCAATGTGGTTAAGAGCTGGTAGCGATTCCTGCGGTTGAGCAGGCAGTTCGGCCTTTGAAACAGTTGCATCAACATTTTCCCCCTCAAAAAGTAATCCCTTTATTTTCAAAATAAAAAAATACCACCGATCTTTATTCAGTCTTGCATCGCACAAGTTACTCTGATCACTGAAAGGGCGCGCCGCCGGGAAATCGGCTTAAGTATCCGGCCAGCCGCCATCTGGCCGTAAAGATAGCCACTGGCTTAGGCTAATCGCCCGGTGATATATACCATTATCTCTCCAGCAAACAGACTAAGCCTACAGGAGCGATTTGCCTTTGGTCTCTTCCAGAAAGAAGCAAAAGTAGAGAAAGCACAGGAACGTGATGCCGCTGCAGCTCCACATGGTGACCGAAATGCCCCAGACGGCCATGCAGATGGGGAAGATCTTCAGGGTGAGGAAGACGGTGCTGCTCAGGATGACCACGAAGGTGGAGACTGCCACCGATCGGATCTGTTGGAATATAAATTGTTAATTATTATTAAATAAATAGATACATGTAGCATATAGCACTCCACCTTGGATGGAAACAGCTCCACCAGCAGCACAAAAAGACATCCCACCATGCCGATGTTGCAGAGGAACACGAAGAAGGATAGGATCACGAGGGGCAGCCAGCCAACCACGGAGAGATCCTCAGCCTTGAGATCCTTGGCGAAGAACGTGAAGGTGCCGAAGGCCAGGAGGCAAACGGAGGCTCCCGAAGCGGAGGTCAGGATGAGGACCCTCCGGCCGTAGTTATCGCACAGCAGGGTGGCCACGTAGTTCCCCACGATCTGGATAGCCCCTATGAGAATGGTGCACATGCCCAGGTTCAGGTTTGTGTAGGAAGCCGCAAAGACGTCCGACAAGTAGGTAGTTATACAGAAACTGGCGCTGAACTGGTTGCAAATGAGCAGGACAGCGGCGGAGGCATAGGCCTTGAATGCAGGTTTCGTTACTGAAAGGGATAACAAGTGATATTATTAGAATATATTAGAAGCCTTTGAGCACTCACTAAAATCCCTGTAGTCGAAGGACTTGTCCTTCTCCGCCTGATAATTGTTCACGAGGAACTTCAGCTCCTCGAACTCGCTCTCAGCCTTGATGTCGTCCCTCCGGATGTTCTTGTAGAACATGAACGACTTCTTGGCCGCCTCGAACTTGCCCTTGCGAATTAGGTGATGCGGGGTCTCCGGGAACATGAAGGTGCAGATGAAGTAGCAGACGGGCAGGGCGATGATGAACGGCGGGGATGTAAAGTAATCCACGCTTGTGGACACAATATAGCCCGCCAAAACACCCGTGTTCACCGACAGCAAGATAATGGACCCGAGACGACCGCGCACACTGCGAAGATTTATGGCCCAGTTATGAGCTGTTTTCCCATCCAGCACGTTACTTCACATTGACTTCACTCACTTGGTGTCCGCAATCTCGCTGATGAAGGTCGGCAGGACGACGTAACAGGCGCCACCGGTCATTCCGGCCATCAGTCGGCCCACGTAGAGGAACTCCACGCTCTGGACAAAGAACACCAGGCACCAAAAGATCTAGACGAACGTGAGATAAGCACCTGAAGCTGGTGAAATAGTTTCCCCCGAAAACGCCGACTCATCTCACCGTGTACGGAATGGCGATGAACAACAACATCAGCTTGCGACCGATGCGATCCTGCAGGAATCCCGCCAGCAGGTTGCCCATCACGCTGCCGATTCCCACGAGGGATCCTATCCAGGACACCTGGTCCACCAGCACGGGAAAATTGAGGGGGGAGTCGTCTGTCTGGATGTCCCGCATCACCGGCGACATCCAACCCACACCCAGGCCATGCGAGAAGGTGGCTATGTTCACTGGGGAGTGAACGGTTCTAGAGAAGGATCTCCCAGGATTCGTTTCAAATCCTTACCCAGCAAGGTCACCAGAAACTGGTGGCGAATTCGGCGACCCAACAGGCAGTCGGGGTTGTCGAAGATCGACGACAAGCGCAACTTAAACGTCATGGTCGAGATGCTTTCTCCGGACTGAATGAGATTCATCTACGGACCGAACTTCCCCTTAAGTATTTCGTGACCGGTTTATCTAAACCTGATAAGCCAAACACTTTTATAACGCTTACCAGATGGTGAATACACATTAAAAAACACTTTCTATAAAAATAAAAACAAAATGAGGTATATTTTCTTTTTGCTTTAAAAATAAATTTAATATTGAGAAATTAATTATTTTTGACAAATTTTTAAATCAATTTCTTCAGATTCCAGTTGAAAGTACAATTAAAAAACTTAAGGCTTTTTTTTTTTTTTTTAAGGAGTGGTTTGAAACTTGGATAAACAACTGAAAGTATTAAATTTTACTTACTCTTTTGCATATCCTTTAAACAGCTTCATTTTAATAAAATTTCTTTGCTCTTAAGTACGATATATTAATCCTCGATCATGGACTTTCCTTTGGTCTCCTGCAGAAACAGCCAGAAATAGAGAAAAGTGAGTAGAGCTGAGGCGGCGGAGAACCACATGGTGTATGATATGCCCCAGTAGTGCAGCATCAGGGGAAATAATTTTAGGGTGCCGAAGACCAAAAGACTCAAGAATATCACAGAGAGCGATGTGGCCAAGGATCGAATCTGAAAAGAATGATTAGGTGAAATCGTTGGATACTAAACCTCTCATGATTCAAGCTTACCTTCGCAGGAAAGAGCTCTACGAGCACCAGGAAAAAGATTCCGATCAGTCCGATATTCGCCACATAACAGATGATGATCATGATCACCAGAGGAAGCCAATTATAATCGCTGAGATCATATGTCTCTGCAAAGTAGGTAAAGATGCCAAAGGCAGCGCAACCGATTCCCACTCCCAATGTGGAGATCAGCATCAGAACCCTTCTGCCCACTATGTCCACTAAGATTGTCGAGGTGTAAACCCCCACGATCTGAACTATTCCTATGATAATGGTGGCCGTGTTGACATCCACAATCGAACCAGAGGCCTTGAAGATATCGGACATGTAGTTGATGAAGCTGAAAACGCCACTGAACTGGTAGCCCAAACTGAGGACGACGGAGGCAGCAAAGCCTTTCAAAGCTTCCTTTGTAACTGAAATAGGAAAAACTTTAAGTTAAGTGATTTTATTTAATTTATTAATTACTACTTACTGAGATCCTTGTAACTCAAAGGAGCGGAGTGCCTGGTCTGCTGAGAAAGAACAGCTGAGCGAAGCTCCTCGAAGTTTTCCTTGGATGATTGCTCGCAGATTACATCTCTCTGGTTTCTATAGTATCTAAACGATTTCTCAGCCGCTGCAAGTTTGCTTCGTTTCAGCAGATACGGAGCTGTTTCGGGTAACATTATATTGGCAATAAAGTAAGCCACTGGCAAGATAATGGCCAAGAAGGGTACGACGTGATAGGCCAGATAAGTGCTCAGTATATAACCAACCAGTATTCCCAAATCGACAGATAGCATCACCATCGATGTCAGGGCACCTCGAATGCTGGATAGAAGAATTTAAAAAAATGTTGGTTTCGAGTTTAAGTACAAGTATTTAATACTCACTCGGTGTCGGCTATTTCGCTGATGAAAATGGGAACTACCACGTAACCCGCACCTCCGGTAAATCCACAAAAGAACCTGGCTACATAAAGGAAGTACACATTCGAGGCGCAGTAGATTAAGATCCAAATGCACTACAAGAAATAATGTATTCTTAGGGATTTATTTTATAATAAATATTATATTATACATATTACATATTATATATTTAATGATGGTTTACCCACCGCATAAGGTCCAGCCATTAAGTAAAGGCAGAACTTCCTTCCAGCTCTTTCAATCAGGAAAGCAATGGTTAAATTTCCGCACAGGCTTCCCAACCCCAACATGGAACCCAGCCAGGAAATCTCCGCGAGATTGACCTCGAAGTCCAGGGGAGAGTCGGCAGTTTGGATTTTGGTAAGTGTCGGTGAAAGCCACCCCACTCCCACTCCGTGGCCAAAGGTAATTATGTTCACTGAGGATAAAGCAGTTTCGAAACTGATGTTCCTTGATAATCCTTGCAAACTCGGCTGGAAACTTACCAATTATCGTGGCCAAAAGCTGATAACGTGACTTTTGCTGCAGCAACGAGTTCCTTGAAATGCCTGCCATTTTAGCCGTGGGAATGTCAGTCGCAGTCCAGAGTTTAGACACAATTGCGACGGCCTGTAGTTCTAAAAACGCAGGAAAGGAAAAAGCTCGCTGCCAAATCTCTTCACAAACTTTATACCCGCAATATCAGAGATCATTTTATTTGCCCGGCTTGCTGCCTGTACCTCTAAGGCTTTCAACCAGCAAGCCCACACAAACGCACATTTTACATTGTAAAGATAATTGCAAAAGCTTTGCACACCTGTGTTTTGGACCTTAGCCATTTCACAATTCAAACAGTCAGTTTCCACATCCACCATCCCGGGGATGAGACCACAAAAAAAGGGGCTTGTCTGTCTGTATCGTTTATGATGTTGGTCCAGACCCAACCGGCAATTTAGAAGATTAGGTCGAAGGCGGAAGGCTTCTGGTAAACAAGTGATTATAGATGAAGAGCCAATACCCGTGAGACCAAATAAATTGCAGCTTATACCAGGAAAGGCAGATAGCTTCGGCAAGCCGAAGCCTATATACCCTTGCAGTCATCAAATATGTCAAACAAAGTACAAAAAGGCTAAACATCATCGAAGCTTTGACGGATTTTCTATTCATTTTCTATATTATCGACTATTGTGTATATGGCAGCTATATTATATAGTCCGATTTTGCTAATTCAAGAGTCGTTAGGAAACTCTATATTCCAAAAATTGTCTGATGAGAAACAACGATGTTTTTCGATCTTTGGCAGCTATATAGTAGTTATTAATAAACAAAAAATATTGAAAAAAATTTTCAAACAGTTGGAAAGAAATAATATTTATTTAAAAACGCAACATACCAGTTTTTTGAATAAGATTATTCATAATCATACAGATGAACAAATGAATTTAAAATTTTATTTTTCTTGCTTTAACTGCCGCAAAATTTCTGATTGTCGTAGCAATATCCAGTGACTGGAGATCATTTTTTTCTATCGAGATCGTAGCCATATCACATAAGCGTTCTTGAGAAATGGTAAATCTTAAGTAAGTTTTAGTTAATTTTAATTTTAAAAAACTTCTCTCCGCACTTGCAACACTGATTGGAAGTGTTAATAAAATTCTCAATGATACGAAAACGTTTTGAAACGTATCCATCAATCGGTTTTGATTTATGTAGTTCAGTGCATTAAATGGGGTACTTTCAGATGGCAGCATTCGTGATAGGATAACAAGTTCTTCTTTTCGATAATCGAGTATACGATTAATCGACTCTTCCATGACGCCAATTTCAACTGCACAAATTAAAAAAAAAAAAATTCCCGTGAGCAATTATTTGGCGCCCCAGATGACGGAAACAAAGCAGTTGCCATCTTCGCCTTCGCTGACTTTGCTCTGCAAGGGTATAAAAATCCGTCTTAAGGATTCACCCACACAACTTTTGTAAATATTTCATTGTACAAGAGAGAGAAAACCACTTTCAAGTGAAAAGAAATTTTTAATTGGTACTTGAAAGGTTATTTATTGGCTTGCCAATTCAGAATCAATTTTTATAATTGACCAGGATTTTATTTAGAATTTTATTGTAAACATAATAATAAGAGAGAAAAAGCTCAATCTTCAACCATGGATTTTCCCTTGGTTTCCGCCAGGAAAAAGAGGAAGTAGGTGAAGGTCAGCAAACTGGATGTGGCTGAGAACCACATGGTCCACGGAACACCCCAAAAGTGCAGCATCAGGGGGAACAACTTCAGGGTGAAGAACACCATGATGCTCATCAAGATCACAGATACCGAAGTGCCAAAGGAGCGAATCTGAAACGGAAGAAGGAGCAAGCTTAACTCAACCAAATGAAGGTTTTCCATATTTGGTAGGTGCTCACCTTGGAGGGAAACGCCTCCACGATTACCAGGAAAAACAGTCCCACCAATCCCGCATTGGCCACGTACAAAATAAAAACCATAAGAAGCAGGGGAAGCCAATGGTAATCTGATAGATCATAAATCTGAGCAAGGTAAGTGAATAATCCGAAGGCAATGCAACCGATTCCCACTCCGAAGGACGAGAGCAGCATCAGGAGTCGTCTTCCCACGATGTCCACGAAAATGGTTGAGGTGTAAACCCCAATGATCTGCACCACTCCAATGATGATTGTGCAGGTGTTCGGATCTATGACGGATCCGGATCTCTCGAATATCTCTGAGGAGTAGTTGATGAAGCTGAAAATGCCACTGAACTGGAATCCAGTGCAGAGAACAGCAGTAGCACTGAAACCCTTTAAGGCGGGTTTGGTAACTGAAAAGGAGTTTTTAACTTGGATTAACAATAATATGCATGATCTTAGGACTCACTCAAATCTTTATAGCTAAGGCCACTGGGATTGTTCGATTGCTGGGCAAGAACAATGGTTCTCAGCTCCTCAAACTCCTCTTTTGACGATCCGTCCCTTTGGTTCTTGTAATATCTGAAGGACTTCTCAGCCGCACCAAGCTGGCTTCGCTTGAGCAGATAAGGAGGCGTTTCTGGCAACATAAGACTGGCGATGAAGTAGGACACAGGCACTATTAGGCCCAAGATAGGTACGACGTAGTAGGACAAATAGGTGCTGAGTACAAACCCAGCCAGCACTCCGAAATCAACGGACAACATCACCATGGAAGTCAGAGCACCTCGAATGCTAAATGTTCGGAAGTGTAGCGTTTTGTTTTACTTTAATTACATGGGAAAACTCACTTCGAATCGGCCACTTCACTGATGAAAATTGGCACCACCACGTATGCTGCTCCTGATGTGAAACCACACAGAAATCTGGCTGCGTACAGGAAGTAAATATTGGATGCACTGTATATAAATATCCAGAGGCACTAAACGAAATAGTTTGTTTACCAAATAAAATTCATCAAATCAAAATAAATTCATTTGCTGAAAAGTTATCTTACTGCATAGGGTGCTGCCAACAGGTAAATGCACCATTTCCTGCCAGCTCTCTCTAGTAAAACGGCTATAACCAGATTGCCACACAAGGCGCCCAATCCCAACATGGACCCCATCCAGGAAATTTCATCGATGTTCACTTTGAAATCCAAAGGGGAATCCGGAGTCTGAATTTTGGTCAGGGTCGGCGAAAGCCAGCCCACTCCAAATCCATGGCCAAAGGTTATGATGTTCACTTCAAAAGTACAAATTAGATTTAGTATAAAATTAACTTGGACCAATGCCAATCTCACCAATCAAAGTGGCCAAGAGCTGATATCTCGAATGAGCCTGCAGCAAGGAGTTCTTGAAGAGTTTCGCCATTTTTCCGAGCTTACTATCTATTCCAGAATGTATCTCCGCGAATGTAAGAAACCCCTTTTATAAACTTATCCAAAGCGAAAGCTCTTGTGGGAAACTGTAAACTTTATTGTCTCACTATCAAGGTTGGTTTGCCGCCTGCCGGGCTATAAAGATTATTCTCCACTCGACAAACTCCATTTCCAAACAAACAAATTAAAATTGTATGGTGGAATTAGCAAAGTAAAGCACTCCATCGTGGTCAAAGATAATTTGTAAAAGACACGAGTGTGATGTAACCACGAAGAGGGGATAAAAATGGTGGATGCCAAGAAAAATTTAAAGTGCATAAATGTATCCTAGAAGTCGACTATATAAACGACTATACTAACTAGACACTAGTTCTTTACAAAGACTTAGTCTAAGCACGCACCCTTTTGAACTTTGTTGTAATTGTGCTTTTCTAATTACTCGCAATTAAAAAATAATAATAAAGCAATAATATCAAGGCAACAAATGAATGTAAACAATATGTAATTGAAAACTATTTATTTCAAAAAACGTAGTCATTTATTTTTGTTTGGCGTTCCTCTAATATTAATTCAGTAACAAGCATATCAATAGTTACTAAGCCAAAGAAAAGCTCAACGGATTTCTTTATCAAACCACTCCTACTTCAGATTTAATTATCTTAACTGATAACTTATCTAATCACAGATTCCGGCTTGTTGAATAGATCTTTTGTAAGGCGCCAGCTGAGGAAGATCAAGGCAGTTGAATAGACAACTGATTGTTTGATGTGGTTTTCCCCGCTACAATCAAAGTAGCTGTGCTTAATTTACAACCAAGGTCGGCAGACCAAATGATAGCAATCCTTTGATTTTCCGTGAGATTTTATTGAAAACAATAACAAGTTAAGTACTAATGTTTCTATAGGCTGGCCATGATGGCTTCGATTGTCTTGCCCTTCGTCTCGGGCACAAAAATGGCGATGAAGACGGCTGCTGCGAATGACAAGCTGGCAAACATGTAAACGGTGCCGTGCATTCCCATTGTTTCCGTGAAAATGGGCATCATCTGAAAATAAATAAAGATGAATGGTTCATTCGAGAGAATCCCAGTTATTCAGTAATTAATTATGAAACCCACCTTGATGGTGCAGGTGGAGATCACCCAGAGCACGGTCATGGTGATCATCATCGCGGTGCTCCTGATCTTCTGCGGCATGATCTCCGATATCACCAGGAAGGGCAGGGACAGCAATCCGCAGGCGGCCACGAAGAGCATGAAGGAGAACCCGGCGATGGGCACCCAGCCGAAGGAGGTCACATCGATCCCGAGCACCTGCAAGTAGCTGTACGTGGCCATGGCGCTCTGGCCCAGTCCGATTCCCACGGCGGAAACCACCAGCAGGATCTTCCGGCCCAGGCGCTCCACCAGGACGTAGGAGGCGTAGGTGCCCAGCAGCTGGATGGCTCCCACCACGATGGCGGCCACCGTGGGGGACAGGCTGGAGCCCGCCTGCTGGAAGATCACGGCCGTGTAGATCAGCATGGCGAAGCAGCCGCACAGCTGGTTGAAGCTTATCAGTCCGATTCCGATGAGGAAGGCCTTCCGGTTCTTGCCCTCCGCTGAAAAAACAGGGAAAATTAAATTAAGTAGAGTAAGTTAAGATTAGAAGAATCATTACAACTAATCCCCTTTTTGTTCAAGCTCCTTTTTCATTTAATTAATTTACTATGTTAACCAACCAACAGCTAATTCGATTTCTATGTTGATTGTTCGCTAAAAATTAAGTATACGCAGTGTGGGAGTTGGTTATTTTCGCTAAAAATTAAGTATACGCAGTGTGTGAATTGGGTATTTGGTCAATTTTAAATGGCGTATTTATGGTAGTGATTTATGTCTCTGTTTCTTCTGTATCTCCTTAAATATTAAATTAAATGAAGGCTTTGAGGGGCATTCAAAATTACTTAAAATATCTAATAGCATCCTAGAACTTGTATCTCATAATTTCTTTCAATATTCTCACCAAAATCTCTCCAGGTGACACCAGTGGTCTCAGCCTCGATTTCCTCACCATCTGCGGAGGGTTTCTCGGTGGGCTTCAGCTTCTGCAACTCGAACTGCAGCTCCTCGCTCAGTTCCTTCGCAGGATTGGACCTGATGTTCCGATAGTAGCGAAGGGAGTGCTCTGCCTCCTCGGTCTTGTTGATCTTCACCAGGTACTGTGGTGTTTCGGGCATGAACCAGAAGCAACCAACAAAAACGAAGGACAAAGTGGACACAATCCAGCAGACTTGGGCATAGTTGAAGTAGTAGCCGAGGATGAATGCCAGCAGAACACCAGCGTTGCAGGTGAGCACCAGGAAGACACCCAGGACACCTCGAATACTACAGAAAGGATACATTTAAGCTTGCACTGATTGAAAAGCTGGGTGTCTCTCACTTGTCGGAGGCCAATTCAGCCACATAGATGGGAATCACTGTGAAACATCCACCGCCAGCCGCTCCTCCGATAAATCGCGCGATGTTCAAGTGCATCGGATTGCGGGCAAATGGTATCATCACCCAGCCCAACTGTAATTAAGTTTAATTTAATTTTAATTCACTTGAATTTCATGTGTGTAGAACTTATTACCAAGTTGGGCAATGCCATCCAGAGCAGGCTCTGTCTCCTGCCAATTTTCTCAGACAACCAGGTGAACAAAAGGGTGCCGAACAGGCCTCCCGTGCAGATATTCGATGCCACCCATCCCTGATCCTTGGGGCTCAGGGGTCCCGTTTCCAGGGGGCTGTCCTCCGCAGATAGTTCCAGGAAACTGGCCGATGGCCAACCGCAAAAGGCGCCATACGAAATGGTTATTATGTTGACTGCACAAAATAATTAGAAAGTTTACATAGTTTTCTGTTTATTTGATTTGACTTATTTCTTTTGAACCAACCACTTATGGCAGCCAGGTATTGGTATTTGTCACCGCCGGCGGAACTCATTTTATCGGAACTTTTTTTTTTTTTTTTGGATAAACTAGTGTTCTGTGAATTTCATAGCCCGACGAGTCCTGCGTTTTGACTGGTTTTGCTTTCCGGGCCGACCGTCGAAAGCCCGTAAGTGTTCGCGTTTAACTAAGCGAAACCAGTGGCTGAATGATAATGTTTATATATTGCACTAGATCGTAAACGAGCTTATTTGTTCTGCGGATGAGAACGCGAGTAGCGTAGATTATTATATAGACCGTTATCACCGGCCCATTATGCTCCGGCGGATCCGGATTGAGAGCAAAGCGAGTCCGCTGTCACAGAAAATAGTTAATTATTGCCCCGGGGTGTTAATGCAAATTTGTTGTTGCCAACGCTCCGCCGATTACAATTAGTTTTACGGCGATTGTTTGCCTTTTCCTGATTTGATACGGCCGGAATGAGAGGAGTTCCTCTTTACAACGCGCGCATTTAACTCGGTTCGGTTCTCATTCTGAAAAAAAGAGAGTATCGCATAAATCAGGCTCTACTCGCGGCAAATATTTGCCCAGTCGAGATACTCAACTCAAACAACAAGCGCGCATTTAGCATTTTTGGCAATCACTCCCTTCCAACTTGGCCGTAAACGCGTAAATTTGGATTAGCCGGTAACGCGACTGAGTTTAAACGGATTTTCCCATGCAAAAGTTGTGCGTGATGGCGCCTGTGGCTGAGTGATTTGAAACAGGTGGAGTTTGGTTATAAAAAGTAAGAAAACCAAGTGATACTTTATGATTTTAACGACTTTTTTCCATGAAAAGATAACTTCTTTGCTTTATTTTCATTTCACTTCATAAGTGAGTGCTCGTTAGGAACGGAATTAAATTTAATTTGATTAGATTATATAACTTAATCTACAGTATTAACGTATGACAAAAGTTTCTCTTAAATACCTTGATAGTAGCTTCCTGTCTGCAGATTTCATTTGCCTTCCAGAACAAAACACGTGTACCGAATGCCTATAACATTTCATAACAATTACTTCCAGACTTCTGTAGATTCTGGCCAGAGAACCGCTTACCGTAATTTTTATCACAAGTTATTCTCCCTTGGGGTAAAGTTTTATGACGAAAGGTTCTTTGCGAACCATAATCGAGATAAGACCCGTACCCAAACAACCAAGTTTCGGGCTAAAGATAAAGCTGTGACTGACGTGAGCGCCGTAAAACTTTATTGGACTCCGGATCTGGTCGTTGCCAGCCAGATGAGTAATTAGTAGTCACCGAATTCGTGATCCTGACTCGATGCATACTTTTAAGAGCACACAAAGTGGAAACAAATTTAAAATTTATCGTTTAAGTGATTATATTCTTTTTAAGCTGCATTAAAACTAAATTCGTACTAATATCGATGGTAAGTCTACGGGGAGTGAGCACTCGAGCATCTCAGATGTGGGTGGAAATGTGGCCGTTGGTGGCCGCCGATCCCTTGGCCACTCCGCCGTCGTCCACGTACCCCAGTTCGCGTTGCACCGCCGAGGGGCGGCGGTTGCGCGTTTCCGGCAGAAGGGGCAGCGAAATCAGGCCCACGAATATGGAGGCCCCGGCAAATACCCACAGGTAGAGGACCAGTCCGGGGGCAATGGAGGCCTTTACCGCATTGAATGCCTGCATGCAACATTTGCAACATATAATGAAACTCTCTCTCAGGTTTTTGTTTATCTGCACCCACCTCAATCATTCCGAAGAGCAGCAACCAGGCAACGGCAGAAGCCAGCGAGTACAGCAAATCGTGCAGCTGTCAACAGATTTCAGATTTCAGTTCGTCAACAAACATGGAAAATATGTATGGTTGTATGTAAATGTACACTCCCCTATAAACCCAGGTAGCTATTATTATTGATAAATATTCGTTGAATAATATGAGTCAGTTAAAATGAAATTGAAAAGACTCCCCCAAGAGATAATATTGAACGAGTGAGTGATATGTTTCTGTGGTATTTTTAAAATCAACATGACAAAATGAAATGTAGTTTCGAATCGAATGCACTCACCTTAGTTGGCAGGACCTCGCTGCTGACGACGGCAGCCAGAGGATAAAGACCGAAGCTGACAAAGGCGAGTTGAAAGGCCAGCAGCACAATGGGCAGATACTGATCTGCCCAGCTTCCCAGGAGCCAAAGCTGCCCGTAAACCTTGAACAGGGCCAATACAATTACCGCCACTGCCGCAAGCAGCGAGGAGAGGCAGAGCAGCAGCTGCGGGAGAAAGGATGTTATTCAGATGGAACCATTAGCAATGCCAAAATTCAAATTGAATGGCTTGAATACGTTTGCAAGATGTGTTGCCATTTCACTCACCTTGCGGGGAATGTGGGGACCGATGAGGCGGGCAAAGAGAGCTCCGATGCACTGGGCCGTGGCTAAGACGACATAGTTGATTTCGATGGAGTAGCCGGTGCGACCGAGGAAGTCCGCGGCGTAGTTGAGCTCCACGAAAACACCGCTCAACTTGGCGCAGACTGTCAGTAGGAAGCTGACGAAGGTCAGCCGGATGATGTAGCCATGGGACATGGGCGTGGAGCCCACGTTCTTGTCCTGGCTCTTCAGCTCCGCCTGGAACTCGGCCAGTTCGCTGAGGTACTCGGGCTTCTCGCGGTCGTCGATGTCCCGGATGCCGCGGTACCAACGCAGGGACTTCTCCAAGCTGGCCATGTTCCTCCTGCGTAAGAAGAAGTGCGGGCTCTCCTGCACGAAGGGGAAGGTCATCGTGAAGACGAAGGACACCGCGCATCCCACAATGTTGACCAGGTCGTAGGGCAGGTAGAAGCCCAGGACAAAGCCCACCAGGATGCCCAGTGTGCGCCACAGCTCGATGGTGAAGGTCAGCCTGGCGGCCTTCTCCCGCGTCTCCGCAATCTCGTTGATGAAAATCGGCAGGACCACGAAGGCGGCCCCGGATGCCACGCCCGCGAAAAGTCGGGAGGCGTAGATGTGCACTATATCGTAGCCGAAGTGGATGCAGGCCCAACCGGACTGCAAAATAAAGAGGTAATCGGCTTATAGAGAGAAAGTAAAAACCAATTAAAATATTAAATTCCCAATTGGAACTAATAGCAAACAATGAACTCATACTTCCAATAGACTCTACTCTGTTTCCACCTTTCAGATATAAGACTTCAGAAAATATCTTGTTTCTCTAGCTTTCCTTGAAATGTATCTTCCTCTTTTCTAGACTCGAGTGTCGAGACATTGTGTGCAGGCTCCTGTTTTCTATTTCCCAAGAACTATCTTTTGAATACATAATTACGTTCAAGGACTCACGATTTGAAGCAGTCCGGAGCAGAGGAGCACCGACTTGGGGCCAATTTTCAGGGCTAAAACACCAGAAACCAGAGCTCCAATGGCAGCACTGAGGAACAGGTAGCCTGTTAGCCAGGCGGTTCGCGCCGGATCGGTGGCCTCGTTCAAGGGAGTCCTTTCCTCCGATTCATACAGTGCCATGTGCGCAGGGGTAATGCCAAACATCATGCCAAAGTTGAAGCAAATAATATTGCCTGCAATTAAAATATAAGGAAAATAATTTCATTAAATTGAAAATGATTAATTTAGCATGTTTACATGATATAGTAAATGACGACTTTATTATGAAAACATTGTCCTTGGAGTGACTCACCTAAAGCCGTGGCAATACTCTGGATGGCCGGACCACCCACTCTCTTTGGCAGGCACATGCTGAAGGTTTCCAACGGAGAGTAATCCTTAATCCAAATCCGGAAGCGAGGACCTAGAAACACATGCAGGTCGCACTGCACCGACTACCCAACTGAGAATCAGTTAATGGATGCTGGGGGCTATTTATGGCCGTGGGATCGGCGCCGTTATCTTTCGCTCGCCCGGAGATAAGATGACTACTATGCGCCACCAGTTGAACTCCAGACCACGGGCAAACCGACCAGAGACTGTGTCCGGACGTGTTTTCGTTTAGTTGGCAGTTAAAACGAATAAGATGAGCAATATGCAGGTATATATTTGCCCAACGTGAGCATACAGACCGATTCAGCGATAAGCTCTGAGGACGTCTGCCTTGGCTACTAGTTTTGTTTATGGGAAACAAAAGGGTGGCTCACAAACCGAGAAAAAATGCTTGTTAATTAAATCGAAGCGAACCAATTGAAACCAATTAAAAGTGAATTGAGCGGAAAAGTCTATAACAAAAGACTCATGCTTAAAAAAAAGGAATTAATAACGGGTTTTCACTTAATGATAAGGGAACAAAAAGGTGCAAGCAAATCAATTCAATTAAAAAAGGGGGATTAATTTAAAGTAACATTTCGAACTCGATACGCAGGTAGATGAGCAACTATCGATAGTATCACTCCAAATCTTTCAGCACCAAAGCTGATTGCCATACCCCGCAAATTACGATAACGATAGAAAAGATCGGCACCTACACTATCCTGACTGCTATGAAACCCACTACAAAACAGCTGATTTTAGCCGCCAGTTTTTGTGGTTTGTTTACTAATTAATTGCGAATTTAAAACTTGATTCTATAAAATGAACCTCGAGCTCTGGGAAAAACAATTTGCCCTCTGTGAAGCCGTATTTCAATCAAGTGGAACAACAAGTAGCCGAAAACAAGCTGCGTGGCGTGCACAAGCCATATTGCTATGCCAACAAACCAGGTTAAATTGCACTTAAATTTAAATCCATAAAAATAATAACGTTTATTAATACCTAGGTTGTGTGACGACTCCACCCACTACGCTGTGCTGAAAGAACATCATGATAAATTGCACAATGACGACAGTTATGAGAAAGCAATGACAAAGCGCTTAAATCGATGCCAGCGGATTATAAAAAACAGTCACAAAACGAATTCACAAAGCTCCTGTTCGGATGACATGTTTAACTTACCGCAGGATATTACCTTTGAGCCGTCCTGCAGGACCACCTATGAGAGCTGCCAAAAATCTGAAGTCACACTAAAGGATTTACAGACTCTTTTATTAGCAAAAAGAGAAGAAAAACGCAGTCCAGTTTTGCGTGAACCGATTTCAAAGAGTACTTTGAATGACCAGCCAAGTGTACCAGAGGCTTCCTCCCAGAATGATTTTGGCTTTCGCACTGCACGGGAGCAATTGGTCCTGGACGACCTAAAGGTGTGAAATTGCTAAGAACAATTCCTAATCTTCACCTTGGAATGTCAGTTTCTGAAGAGTTTCCGCAATGATTTTCTAAGCTGTAGACGCAGCAACAATTTCATGAAATCCTTTCTTGAATCCCCAGAAAAACAAGCAACCGACAACCAGTGAGAGGAATGCACGACCAGCCGACATGATGAACTTCAGGAAAAAAGTGCTGGGTGGAAAACGCACAGTTAGCTCGAACTTTGTATCGCCTTTGGCGCAAAATGGAAACTCAACTAGCTCGTGAGTGGAGACTTGTTATTCAGAACATGTCAAAGATTTAATAAAAACCGCTCATGTGCAGAAACTCAAACTTACCACCCGCCCTGGCCCATTTGGATCCCAAGATGGTGGAGCAAATTCTTGGCGAGAGCACGCACGATTTCAAACCAGTCGGTGAGTAATTTTGTCTCTTTGGTACATGCTGTTTGTGGAAATGTTGTTATTGCAGCCTGGGAAGATATTGCCGGTCTGGAATCTGCCAAGTCCACATTCCTGGAGGCCATAATAATGCCGCTTCGACGTCCCGATTTGTTCACTGGGGTGCGGTGCCCACCCCGAGGCGTTCTTCTCTTCGGACCACCAGGCACTGGCAAAACCCTCATTGCTAAGAGCATTGCGTCCCAAGCAAATGCCAAGTTTTTCAGCATCAACCCATCCACTCTCACCTCCAAGTGGGTTGGCGAGGCGGAGAAGTTGGTGAAGACCTTGTTCGCTGTGGCCGCTGCCCACCAGCCAGCCGTAAGTGGTTAAATGCCTTTGGATGGAAACTTAACCTTAAGGGATCAATAACTCGTTATGCTGCCCATCTATGGTTAAAGCTTGGGCAGTTATTATCTTACCATTAGCCTTGCATTTCAGATAATCTTCATAGACGAAGTGGACTCCCTCTTGTCAAAGCGTTCTGGTAACGAGAACGAGAGCACTTTGCGCCTGAAGAACGAGTTTCTCATCCACTTGGATGGCGCAGCCAGCAATGAAGAAATTCGAGTGCTGGTAATTGGCGCCACCAACCGCCCGCAGGAATTAGACGAGGCTGTGCGGCGGCGGTTTGTGCGCCGCCTCTACGTTCCGCTGCCCACAAAAGAGGCGCGCCAGAAAATCATCGAGAAAATTACACGGCAGGTGAGGCACAGCCTCGACTCCCGGGAAATTAACCAACTGGCAGAGCTCACAGACGGGTACTCGGGGGCTGATGTGGACACGTTGTGCCGCTATGCATCAATGGCTCCTCTTCGCTCGTTGACACCCGATCAGATGGCGACCATTGAACCGCATCAGGTAAACACAAAAGGGTAGATTTCCTACCGTGTATTAAAAGGTAATTTAAAGTTGGGGAGGTTGCCAATCTGGTACGATGCATCAACCCAAATAGCTTAATGTGAGCTTGTTCGTTTTAAAGCAAAGGTATAATGATTCGATAAGCTGAACAAGGCTTCTTGTTATCCCCAATTAATTGAAGTCGTTTTCCTTTCAGTTGCCCGCTGTTACCGTGGATGACTTCAAGCAGGCTTTAAGGGTAATATCCAAAAGTGTTTCAGCGGAGGACTGCAAACAGTTTGAGGCCTGGAATGAGATTTATGGCGTACGACATTGAGAACACCGAAAAGTGTTTGTTTCTTGGAGTTTATTAATACTTGGAAATAACGCATGACTAACAATAAAATCTGAAATACAATAACTTCAATATATTTCCATTGTTGAAAACTCACAGCACATCAAAATTACGTTCGTATACAGCAGACTGTGGTGCAGTCCGTTCAATGAACTCAACAACTAGCTTAACATACAGAATATATCGAGCGAAAAACTAATGGAGCTACTATACATAATCTGGGCCGACACTCTAAAGCTTACGCGCAAAACTTGTACTTAATTTAAAACTTTGTTCCGGCACATTTTGAACTCTGCATTATGCACACACAGACGGAGATGTTTGTACAGTAGAATACCATAATAAACCTACAACAGCTATCGATAGGGGAATTCTACTTCGAACTTAAATAAGAATTTACACAGAAGGAGGCCTCCGCTAGTCTACTCCCTGTTCTCGCTGATCGGCGGGAAGACGTAGTCGTCGCTCAGGCTGTTGATGTCCACGTAGGTGGTCTTCGGACTGAGCACCCGGTACAGGGCGTCGAAGGTGGGTCGCTCCTCGGGCTCCTCCAGCCAGCACTGCAGCATGATGGTGTACACCTGCGGGGTGCAGATCTCCGGCCTCTGCAGCCGGTTGCCGGCCATCAGGAAGGGGATCAGCTCGCTGTTGCTGATCGTCGGGTAGGGCGAGGCGCCCAGGGTGCCGATCTCCCAGAGCACCACGCCGTAGGCCCAAATGTCGCTCTTGCTGGAGTACACGTTGTCGCGAATCGCCTCGATGGACAGCCAGCGAAGAGGGAGCTGTGGAATAAGTGAACCAAATACAGTTTATCATTTAGTTATTGCACTTCCCAATTGTATATCCTTTGTATTGAATATTGGTAGAAACTCTTTAAGTACTCCTTTTCCAACTCAATTTTAAAACATATGCTGCCCTTACCTTCCGCGTCCTTGTGTTCGTATAAATTCCATGCCTGGAGAGGCCGAAATCCGATATTTTCAGCGTCTTGTTGCTATCAATCAGCACATTGCGAGCAGCCAGGTCTCTATAGAAGAAAAGCCGAAATAAACCCCTTTCGCAATTAGAAGTACAAGTGTCTTCTCGAAATTCATACCGGTGCGTAATTTCCTGCTCCTCGAGGAACCGCATCCCATTGGCAATCTGAAGTGCGAAATTGTGTAGCTCCTTGTTGTCGAGAATGTACTCAAAGGAGTCCTCGTCCTCCACAATGGTGTAGGTAGCTGCATTAGGGGATCAAGTGTTAATTAACTCCTGTTAGGCATTTCAAAGGACGCTTACTTTCGGCAAACGAGGGGATGGGTTGCCGGTGGCCATTAGCTAATCCGTTGGAGTCCTCCAATGGCAATTCAACTGACTGGCTGGATGCCTTTAATTCGATGTAGTTCACGCTTTGCAATTTCGGCGACGAGGAGCCATTCGCCCTGTTGGAAATCGGTCGGCAGGTGGTGTAGTTGGCATTCCTGTTCCTCAGCTTGCTGGCCTCCTGACGAACCGTTCGCAAATAGTTCAGCTAGAAATGCGGTTAAATTAAATTGAATATTTGTGGTTTCTTGATTTTCATTTAACATTTTCCATATTTTGTTTGTGTTTAATTGGATGGAGGAAAATACGTAAATGACACTGGATAATCACTTTAAATAAAATGAATGAAATATTGAATATTTGTGATTTCTTGATTTTAATTTAACATTTCCCATATTTCGTTTGTGTTTAATTGGATGGAGGAAAATAAGTAAAGGACACTGGATAATCACTTAAAATAAAATGAATTTATTTGATTGCTATTACCAAGTTTCCTCTGCCGACGTATTCCATAATCATCAGATACGGCTCCTTGATGGTGCAGCAGCCCAGGAAACAGACCACATTGTGGTGCGTGCCCACTCCCTTGAGCATCTCGATCTCGGCCAGGAACTCGGCCACCTCATCCGCCTTGGGATCGGCTAAATAAGAGGGTTCTTGCTTTTGTTCTTTGTCCAATTCAAATAATGAGTATAAGCTTACCCTTCAGCTGCTTTACTGCCACAATGGTTGTGCCCCTCATCCGGCGCAAATTAATTGCAGTGGCCTCGTGCACTTGACCGAAGGCTCCCTCCCCCAGAATCCGGCCAATTTGGATGGCCGAGTGGGGAACCTCAAAAATGTCTGCTAGTCCCAGGACCTGCGATTTCTGAGAAGATAGTTGTGGTAAGGTTAAGATTAGGAAGCTAATCCTAAGAAATGAAGATATTTCTAATCAATTTTTAATACTATATGCAAGTCAACAAACGAATACATCAATTCTGAATACAATGACCTACCTCCACATACTTGTCCACATAGTTTACGTTGTCCTCCATCCTGAAAGAAATAAGGACAGCCATTAATATCGATAAGTACTCAAGCATTACTGCCAGTGAAACCCACTCGATGGCGGAGGCGGCGAAGGTCTGGATGTATATGTGCTCCTGTTTCCGCAGCTTGGCCGTTGTCCTGGCTCGTCGGCGCCGCAGGAGCAGCATAATCAGTCCCGCCAGGATAATGGCAATCAGCATGCCGCTCATGACGACAATGGAGTTGCTCTGCAGGGAAAACAAGTGGGGATATATTTACAGAACTTTAAATTGTGGCAATTTGCAGCTCACCACACTGTCGCCTTCGGTTAATCGAATCGGATTGGCGGGCACTTGGAGTAATGGATAATTATTAGTTTAAGGGGAACCTCATTAGCGGGATCCACTCACCTGGCACCTTGGCGACACTCCGCGGCCCCTCGCATCCCGAGGGATCTATGATGACCGCCTGCAGGCTGAGGGAGGCCTTCTCCTTGAGCTGCGTTCCCAGTCCCAGCTTCATTAGGCCCTCGAATCCCTTCGGAGTTGGCCTGAAGTTCAGCTCACTGAGTTTGTAGACGCGGGTCATCAGGTGCTTCAGCACTCCTCCCCAAGGAAGCGAGGGGTTCGTCTCCTCGTTGATTCTGCAATTTGCAATTAGTTTGAGTCGGAGGAGCTACGTAAATAAGTTGCCATTCAGCTTTGGCGAAAACTTATAACAAATTCCATGAAATTAATGGGATTGCATTCAAACGGCTTACTATTTTTAATAGGACAACTTTCAGTCACTTAATGAGTTCGGAGAAAGTTATGCAAATGTGTACAGCAATTAATTTCCATGTGTGTGTTCGTGTTATTAATGTAATGGCAGTCATAATTTAAATGGAAAGTCCCTTTAATTATAATACTCACTTTAATTGCATTTTGTAGGCCTTCAGTGATTCGTGCAGATGGGATTCCTGCTCCCTGCGCAACTGCTCACTGGCCAAAATCGAGATGTTGATGCTGATTGTCTCGTTGCTGAGCATTTTGCCCACGGCCAGCACTTTCGGCGGAGTGGGCGCCAACTGGCAGGAGCACTTTCCCTCCAGGCACTCTGCTCGGATTATAACGAATTTTACATCGTACATATAATACCTTTCACAGGTTTTTCGATGGACTTACGTGGAATATAGACGCGGGCGGATCGCCTGACCATCGCATTGGAGGTTTCCACAATCACCTGATATTGACAGCCGAACATGTAGTTGCAGTCCACGGACTCCACGTTCAGGTTGGGATTCACTGGCAGGAGAACGAAGTGTGGCTCGGGGGCAACCATCTTCTGTTTGATTCCGTACTCGCTGCACGGAGCATCCGGACATCGGCTGTTGTTCACCGCACTTACAAGGACATTGTAGGATGTGCCTGCAAAACGATTCTTTCCAAAAATCCATCTTTGCAGGGAATTAAGCCAATAGTCACCTTCAGGCAGGTTGTCCTGCCATCGCACCTGCAGTCGTGGGATTTTCTCCATGTAAAGCGTTACATTTGTGCTCAACTCTGTGATTTCTCCATCAGGAGTGGGCTGGAAAATTACAAGTAATCAAAGAAATAATGGGAAAAATAGCTTAACTTAAGATTATCCTTTAAACAATTTCCATAACCATTAAAATTTGTTTTTAAATTAATGATGTTATTGGTATTTGAGAATATAAACTTTCAATATTATTGCCAATATGTACTCACGTTTAACCGCATCCTGGTCGCAGGATCCAGGGTCTTCAGCCCCGGCAAACCAGTTACATAGCGATGTGCCTCCATTTGCCTGCTGTCCGGCTCCCCGTTCGGAACCAGTGATATCATTGTCGGATTACTGGGCGTGGTGGTGTTTTCGGACAAACCTGGACCCGAGGCCTCACATGCCCCCACCAGGAGGATGAACAACACAATCCTAATTCGAATGGTGTTCGAATGATGCATTCTGAGGGAAAAGTTTCCTCATAGTTGGCTGTGTTTACTGTAAACAAGAGAATTTCGTTTTAATGAACATTCATTTGAGTGAAAGGGACTTATGCCTTGTGAAAACTACCATTACCCATTAACCCTTTGTCCTATCGATTTCTGGTGGAACTAGAAGTCCAAGTCCCATTGTCTTTTGCGTTCGCACACCCTGACCTTTGCCCTGTGGGCACAAAGCGTTACATCAATTCCGAAATGCGCACACACAAATTATGTAACTCAATCCGACTGCAAACACACAGGAAAAACACGCAGTTGGGAGCAAATAAATTCAAATTTTGAACTTAATTAGTGGAGCCGCATAAACTGGCTTGAGTTGCCTCTTTGGAAACTAAGAATGGATAAACCTTGTCCACCCCCGGGTTTCATTTTAATTAGGCACAATGCAGGACTAACTTAATTGTTCAGGGTTTTCTCCAAGCAACAGAAATCTTTGCATCAGCATTGTATCATTTGAAAGTCGAGGCTTCGAAAAATAAAGGTAAAACACAATCTAAAATAACTAAATGCACTTGGAATCATTTGTTTATCGAATCACGAAAACCAAGCGAAACCTTTTCAGCTGATTGCACATGAAGTGTGCAAGTGTTCCATCTTCTTATCAATAAGTTGGCCCTTATCTCCAAAGACACAGAGTATTCCTCTGACAAGCTAGCCGTTGCCAATTGCAATTCGGCTAACAGACTAGGCAAAAAGCAACCAAAGTTAAGTTTTAGAAAAACAGAGAAGCCCAACAATCTATTTCACTGAATGATATTTAATTTAGAATTTTATTACGAATTCAACGATGTACACGGTGCGTCCATTAAGTTTCGAGACTGATTCCATAAATCGCAAAATAAACAAGATATTTCAAGTTTTTCAAATTTATTATTCGAAGTATTCTCCCTTCGCTTTAATACACTTCTCACAGCGATTCAATAGTGATTCAAATGCGTGCTTCAGCTCATTTTGTGGAATAGCCTCGAATGCTCGTGTCGAAGCCGTTTTAATGGTCTCAACATCTTCAAAAAAGCATCCTTTCAACTTCAACTTCAACTTTGGAAACAAGGAGAAGTCACACGGCGCCAAATCAGGTGAATACGGTGGGTGGTCCAACACACAGACTTGATTTCGGGCTAAAAACTGACGAACAATGATTGATTTGTGACTCGGCGCATTGTCGTGCAACAGACACCATTTCTCTGGATCGCGATATTCGGGTCGAGTACGACGGATTCTGGCCATCAAATGCTTTAAAACTTCAAGATAATACGTGCCAGTGACCGTTTGACCAGTTGGAACGAACTCTTTGTGGATAATGCCTTTACTATCGAAGAAAGTGATGAGCATTGTTTTGATTTTTGAAGGAGATTTTCGCTTTTTTTGGCTTGTGGTGAGTTTTTTGACTTCCATTCCGAACTTTGGCGCTTAGTTTCTGGATCATACTGAAAGCACCATGTTTCGTCGCCAGTAAGAATTGATTTCAGAAAGTTTGGATCATTTCTGGCGGCTGCAACGACTTCTCTGCAATGATCTTTGCTCTTTGTTCCATGTTGGAATTTCAACATCAGATCAAAAACTGTTTAGGGAAAACTGTCATATCCTTGTTATTTGACAAGCAAATGTAATGAAGTTTGACACGTCAATAGAAAAAGGTTTAAGCTTTAAAATGCACCTTCGAATACCTAGCTGGCGCTACTATTTGCTGAGATATGGTTCATGTCTCGAAACTTAATGGACGCACCGTGTATGTCATTTCACATTTGGAAGAGTAAAGAGTACTTTATGTAGTTTTTGCTAGAACAAACATTTTTCAATGGTAATTTTTCTGTTGTTTAGGCTAAAAACAACTTAAAACCAGGGGAATAGCAATATAGATATGATCTGCATTAAAAGACAAATTTTAAAAACAAAATTTAGCTAAAAGATTTAATCTACATAAAGTATTGAAAGATAGCGAAAAAAATCCCCTAAGGGAGATACCATCTTTGCATAATAAGTGTTTCGGAATCCATATATAACGTATCAAGCTTACTCCTATCACTGATCCTATCGAAGTGGCAATCGAATTCGTGGTGATTCAGCACGTTGCTTTTATTTATGCCTGATATAGCCAATGACCTATTCCAAAGCACTTGAATTTATAGAGGCAGCTACAGTTTTAGACGGTAATTCAAAAGTGTACAAAAAGGAGATGCCCTTGAGGGGTAATGTGGAATTTTAAAGATTAGTTTTCAATTAGAAATGCGAATCTAGGCTTAACTTTCTGTTAAGCTTGTAAACCAAAAGGCATGTAAACTTTAAATTGAATAAAAACCTTTTTCCAACAACTTAAACAACTTTGGGAAACAGATTTGTAGGCAATTAAGCGAGTTCAGGCCTCCTTGATTCCTTGACAAAGAATTTTCATAAAACGGGAAGAAAGTTTGTCTCTTTCCGTCAAATGTGAAATTCAGCGAAATTACACCTGTTTGGCACCGGTGGGGATTAGGGCAAGTGCTCGTGAATTAAAGCGTCAACAAAGCTAATTGTTTGCACGACATTAGCTGCTGGCTGATGGCAGGTGGCGAGTATTTGGGTCATAAATCAAGCCCTGTCTGCTCCGCTTTTGCGTTTTTATGGGGGCCTCCACCCGCAGCTTCTGGGCAGAGGAGGTGTTTTGTTTTGGTTTAATGCCCTCCGCGCCCAAGAGTGAAAAATACACAGTGGCTAGGTGGAAGGTATCTATAGTTTATTCTGGCGCGGATTACTCATAAATGGAGCGACCTTTGGTCTCCTCCAGGCAGACGACCACGTAGAAGAGGCAGATGGCGCTGACGGCGCCGCAGAACCACATGGTGGCCGCCAGTCCCAGGTGGAACATCATCAGGGGAAAGGTCTTCAGCGAGGTGAAGGCGAAGAAGCTGAGGCAGCCAAGGCAGAAGCTGGTGGCCACCGCGCGGATTCTGTGCGGCAGGATCTCCACCAGCACCACCATGGTCACCGAGATGACGCCCACGTTCGCTATGAAGATGATGAAGGCCATCAGGGTGACCGGCAGCCAGGCGGAGTAGGCCGACAGGTCCAGCTTCTCCTCCTCCGCGTAGAAGGCGTACAATCCAAAGGCAGAGGTTCCGATCCCGCTGCCCGCGCAGGACACCACCAGCAGGATCTTCCGGCCGTAGCGGTCCACCAGGTAAATGCTGGCCAAGGTGCCCAGGATCTGAACAGCTCCGATGATGATGGTGTTCGTGTTGGGGTCCAGCTTGGTGTGCACCGCGTCGAAGATGTTGGACATGTAGTTGTTGAAGGCGAAGGTGCCCGTGAAGATGTTGGCCACCATCAGCACAAGCCCAGTGGCCAAGGCCTTCAGGGAGCGCTTGGTAACTGCAGGGAAAAGCTGATGAATATACAGATTTCTTGGTAAGTAAACCTGTCAGTTATCTTACGGAACTCGGAGAGGGAGAGCCCCTTGTCGTCGGAGTCCTTGTCCTGCTGCTGGATGGCCAGGCGCATCTCGTCGAACTCCTTCTGGTAGGCCCGCTCCTCCTCCTTGGCGACCGAGGGTCCGTCGCACCGCCGGTAGAACCTCAGGGAGCGCTCGGCCTCCTCCTCGCGGTGCCAGCGGATCAGCTGCTGCGGCGGCTCAGGGTACCGGGTGGCCAGGAAGACGTAGAGCAGCGGGAGGCCCACCACGGCGCAGGGGATCACGTGGTAGGCCACGTGCGAGGACACCACGAAGCCCACCAGGATGCCCGTGTTCATGGTGAGGGTGAAGAGCGAGCACAGGCGACCCCGAATGCTGCAGAATTTGGGGGGAAACAGTGGTGAAGTGGTTTACTTTCATTTTACGAAACTTTTCCCTCAAATGAAGCACTTTTCTTCTCATGAAAACCATATGAAACATTCCCGAAATACGGGAGGAAAAATATCCACAACAATTAACAATTTAATTGCAGCCCAAGAGAGTTTCAGCGAATTGTCTTGAAAAGCGGCTATGTTTCTGCAACACTGAATCATATGTAGTATCAAAATTGCAATTAAGGTTAAAGTGCACGGAATCACGTAACCGCAATGTTGCCTGATGGGCAAAACTACATGCGTGAATTGTAATGCTGATTCGATTTAAACATCAAATTGGTTCCTTTTGTTCCCGAATTCCTTTGAAAGTATCTGTTGCTCTGTGACATTGAAGGTCAATTTTAATTGGAAACATGCGGGCTGAAAATCTGGTTCCTTTATCTGCACTCACCTTTTGTCTGCGATTTCGCCAATGAAAATGGGCAGCACCACAAACATTCCACCGCCAGTTAGCCCGGCGCAAACCCTCGCCACGTAGAGCATCTCGATGCTCGACGCGAAGTAGAAGAGGAACCAGATGCACTGGGGATCAAAGCGGACAGGTTAGGCCCCTGGGGAAGCACCTCGATCCCGGTGGGAAAACTCACCGTGTGCGGAACAGCCAGGGCGTAGATGGACACCTTCCGCCCGAAGCGATTCATCAGGAAGGAGAAGGAGAAGTTCCCGCTAATCCCGCCGATGCTGATGACGGCTCCCAGCCAGGAGGCCTCGCCCACGTCGATGGAGAAGGTGAGGGGCGTCTCCGCGGGGGACAGCAGCTTGGGCAGCATGGGCGACAGCCATCCCAGGGCGATGCCGTGGCAGAAGGTTATCAGCGTGGCTGCAACGGAATTAGATCAGCGGGTGACATCACACCTATCCTATCCACCGGGCGAACCAACAGCTCAAGTGGCTCATTTGCATAGGCACACGCGTGAAACTCATTTTCTTTTGACTTTTGGATGACAAGAGGGAAAAGTCTTTCCCGAATCTCGTCCCTTTGTCCGCATCCGAAACTTTCCACGCTCCAGTTGAGCTGTTAATCCGTCTTATCTCCGAACAACATACCACTCAAAGAGACCAGCACTTGACGACGGTATTGCGGCATGAAGATGCCCGATTGCAGAACGTTGAGCAGCATCTTTTTTGCTGATTGAATCCTTTTTGGAACTGAACTGATAATTCACTAACTAAATAGTCCTCGAATCTCGTTTATCACAGTGGGAGAGCCTCGGTGGGTGGGGGGGCAGGTCCTAGGATGCCTTAAAGCTCTTGCGGGAAAACTTCGGGCTCTGGTATCCTCTTTCCATGCTCTGTGAACTTGCGGGTTGCGCGGTAACTGAACGGAGTGACTCCTGTCCGAAAATGCCTTGTGAAATCGGCGGCGAGGCCCCATTTATACCGCTCTGGTATCTAAATCCGGGGGTAAACAGATGCTAATTCATCTAAGAATCAGCCAACGATTACGCAGTTTGCGAGTCGGGAGGCAGCCACTTAGATAACGCCGTCCGTATCCATCACTCCGGCTGTCTAGGTGGGCGTTGCCCGGTTGCCCGGTTTCGCGGTTCCCCGGAGCTGTGGATCCGTAATGCTCGACACACATCAGTAAATCTTTCCGGCGGCAGCGCGTCATGCTCCCTGTTTTTGTGCCAAGTTCACGACTCGCTCGAATAAAAAGCCAACGGATGCGAGTGGAAATGCGGTTTCGCTTCACTCGTGACGTCATTTGGTGACTGGAGTTATGTTCCGAGCTCCGCATTTTGGATTTCCTGACCTAGGTGAATAGCATCTACTCGTATTTGCTTTGTTGGAGCCACTTGCCTCGCTCAAATGGCAAACACGCGCGCTTTTAAGGCGTCAGTTAATGCACGATGGCACACACCATTACGGAATACAAACACTTTGCGCTGACACTGTTGTTAGATGCAAACACACACGTGTGACACTTTTCCGGGGCCAACACAAACGTTTTCCACAGCGTTTTCGCAGCAGCATTAAGTCAGTCAAGCACTAAACACCCTATATGTAGATTATAGGTGAAGCATTGAATAATAGCTAACAATAATAGTTTATCTTACAAGCGATGCAAGCTATTTGAATAATAGCTAACAATAATAGTTTATCTTACAAGCGATGGAAGCTATTTGAATAATAGCTAACAATAATAGTTCATCTTACAAGCGATGGAAGCTATTTCTTCCTTTCAATGGGGTCTTTAAATCCTAACCTAGGAGTCATGTTACTTTGGGCTATCATTACTGCAAAAAGCAAACCCTTTTCCACGTTAAACAAAAGATTTTAGGGAGGGGTTCATGAATGGATTATTTCAGGACCAAAGTTAAGGAAAAGATTGTGTTTCTGGCACGTGCGATTTTATAGAGGAGCAGTGAGATGAACGTGTTTTGCTAGATTGTCCTTGTTGTAGATAACAATCAAAACATTTGGTTGAATTATTCACTGCAATAAAATTGCGTCGGCTTACCGAAGAGATTTTCTTACTAGCAAGAACTGTGTACTATAACAAAAAAAAATTTAGAAATCGAATGATCATTGTGAATTTAATTAAAGTCCACAAAGCAAAACAAAGTTCGTAATCGTACATAAAGATTCGTATAGATAAGAATCAAACGACTGGCTCCGATTTTACTGCCCTATGATAATGATGATGATTTAGTATGGACTTTGATTTGTCAACAACTCCAGATTATTATGATTTCGAGTATAGGCTAACACTACTGACCTTATGTGGTATATTTAAGTAACGTTGGAAATTTCTACTTGATTTTAAATTGGCACATACCCCTCAAAATGTTTGTTATGTTTTCTTTGGAACTCAAAACGCCCTTCGCAACGAAAGTATGCTACAAAAAAGTGGCTTAAATGCCAAGCTTTCCCATCGTTCCATTTATGAAATGAATAAACTTAAAATAGTTGGGTAAAATACATTTAATTTCAACATACTATGTAAATACTTAGAAGTCTTCATTTTCGTATTGCCAGGCTTTTGACGTGAGGTAGGTGCCTTGATTTCGATTCTGTCTAACCACTCGACATTTTAAGCTCTGCAAAGGCGGCGAAGGCTAGACCAAAACGAGGCGATACTCATAAATAAAATGGCTTGCACCTATTTTAATCAACTGATAAGTTGCTAGTCAGGTGTTGCCAACTTAAGGCCGGCAAACAAACTTTAATCGCTTAAATACCGAAACAAAACTTTCGAACTAATACATACGTCAGACATTTTTTGGTCTACTGGTTTTTGTATTCATACATACATATTTATACTAAAACTATATTCAATTTTAATATATCTTGACAGCCAAGGCACCAGTAAAGATCAGAAACTCAATTTAGTCTCCATCCATATGCTTTTAGAGTGGGTATAAAATATAAATACCTGACAAGAGCAACGACTTTTGGCCCTTATCTCTACTGCTGGTTTTATCTGAGAAGGGGGGCCCACATTTGATAGGAGAATGTGTAGAAATTCACTGCTCTTGGGTTTTTGGGCTTGGTTCGAATTTCGGTCGCGTCATTCTACGGGCTTTTTTCTAATCGTTATCGCCCACTCGATTTATTGATAAGTTCAATTTGTTTTCCATTTCACGGCAACTTGAACAATTTGTTTTGGTTTGCCGACTTCGATGGGAAAAGTAACACACAGCTTTCGACAGCTGAAAGCCGAAACTGAAAACTCCGGCTGTTGCCTAGGCCAACAAGTGAAAAGCCTGGCGAAAAAGATAAAATTAGCGTATAAATAAAAATAGCAATCTCATTGCTATCGAGTTCATAACTTAATTAATACCTAATTTTGTGCTTTCTTTGGTTTTTCGGCACAGACTATGAGTGATAAGCCAGCAACAAATGAAACAACCTTAAGTGTTCAAATTGGACTTTGCTCCAGGGATGATTGTGCGGGAGCCATTAAACTGGTAGAGTCCAGATATTTGTTCGTCCATATAATATAATTCGGAAAGACCCACTAATTGCCGAAGTACTCGTATTATATATCAGCAATATACCTGAACCAATCGAATTCGGGCTCACTATTTTGCAGTGGTCAATGGTCAGTGATGAGGTCGAACTCAAGCCAATAAAGTTTTTAAAAATAACTCGATTAGTCACGGTCCAATAAGTTTATTCAAAGGAGCAGTACGGGAAAATTTCACTTGCCATAAAACTCTATGTTTATTTTCCCATTTGAAAAACAGTTGGCAAAAGTTGGCGTAAAGTTCCATCGTCCCTGGAACTGTTTGCTGTATGCGGCAGCCTTTTAAAGCTTCAATGCCTGGGTCCAATGGCAACTACTCGTAAAATAATTGATGAGATACTACAACGACTGTCATTATATACAGCCAGTTAAGTGTATTCGTGAGATAGCACAAAAACACACAAAAGAGTACAAATTTTGACAATAACAAAAGCGGGAGAGGAACGAATGTATGACGTCTAGCAAACATCTGTGTGAATTTGCGATTTATCAGGACTGAAGTGATTTGGAAAACACTTCAACTTTACTTCAACAAATCGATTTTTTCTCCAACGCAACGAAATTCATTTAAATGCGATGTTATTTTGCACCTAATCAACTTTACCACCACAAAAATATTTAAAACAATATTGTTATAACAAGTTAGTCTAAAGGAATATGTTGCTTACATCTTGATGAAATTTGTTATTTTGTTTATTTTGTCAGGATTTATAAAGAGCTGAAGCTTTGCGTTTGTTTTGCTTTGTTTTAAAATAAACATTTTCATCTCAGAATTACCCTGGATTCCTTTCACCTTTATACAAAAACATTTCTGCTTGGGAATGTCTTCCTTTGATAGTTAAATGGCTTACAAACATTACAGGAACGGACCATAGCCCAGGTCCATATCCCATATGTACCACACCTACCCCATCTTCTAAACGCCCGGTTATGCTCAGATGGTCCTGAACGATTCCGGCGACAATAATAAATATCGAAAAAAAAAAAAAAAAAAACAAACATTACACAAAAGGCAAATGGTAAGAAACAATTTTATAACATTTTTAAATGTAGTATCTGTATGTTGAAAAGCAGAAGGAGAAATTTATGGAATTTAACCAGCCGAAAAACTCATCGCCGAATTCGAGCAATGGGGCCAGAAATCGCGGTTGCTTGGCTCTTTGCCTGCCATTATTTATCAATTGCGGCGCGTGTTTAAGTAGATTAAATGAGGCTACTTAATCATGTGCAGGGCATATATATTGATACCGTATTTGTGTTGTTGTACCCCCTTTGTTGACCATGCTCTCAATAATAAATAACATGCTTTTAAGCTGTAATAAAAAGGCAGAGGTGAGAGAACCCCACGCCAGGAGCGAGCATGGTAAAACAGTGTGATCATTTTTAGTTCAATAATTAGTGGAGTACTGAACTGACAGAATATATATAGCGCTATATATGGCGCACAATCACAAGCGCTGCGCGAAAATGGCGACACTTTGCTTATCACTTAAAGTGGCCGCTGCCGTGCCGAAAAACGGGGACCCGAAAAATGGAAAAATAACCGTGGCACAATCTAATAAAAATTGAAATGCCCCCGTCGCCCACACGGATAGAAAGAGGGTAAATGGCAAATGCCTGGGCCAAATGGTCCGATGTTCCAAAAGGGGGCGTGAGCCGCGGCAATTACCTGGCTGGAAGAGAAATCATCGCCGCCCATCTAGATTGATCGAAGTCAACTGGCAGGGGGAGTACATCAATTGCGCAGTGCGTGCGGCAATTGGAGCGATCATCAATAACGACCGATAAAAATAATGTACAGAACATGAGAAATCACTAGGGAGTTCCGAGAAATTCCTCAAGACCTGCGTGGCTCCAAAAATATGCGGGCTTTCGCGCTATCTAATCGAGAAGTTCGGAGGCTCAAGCCCAGAAATTAGATCGGTTCGGAATCTCTTGATTGGAACTCACCATTTGCGACTCACTCTGCACTGGAGTCTCCTTATGGAAATGTTGACTTTTCAGCTGATGGCTTCGCACGCAATCATTTCAAGTTTTTGTTTACACTCAACACCTTTTTGGCTATATGTTTACCCCAACCCCTCCGCAGTAAACATCTGATGATCAAATTTGTATTTTTTGGTGCAAAAAGAAAACAAACACCCGCGGCTTGTGGGGCTGGGAAATGGATAGCCGAACAACACACAGCACTTACGCGGACTGTTTGCGAATTAATTAAATTTCCGTTCGTCCGTTTGCACTTTCATTCATATAAATTTCAAATAATATTTCCACTTTTGTTTACTCTTGGCTATTTATTTTTAAACTTTTCATTCGAGTGCATATGTAATCCAGATGCTTGATTTCCGTTTCCGCTTCTATACACTTCACTTCACTTTGTATGGCCGTGGGATTTTCGAATTATAAAGTGGCCAATCTGTATAATATTATTTATTTATTTTTTTACACAATTTTTTGTTTTATTAGTAGCGCGCTGAGAATTGCGAAAAGAAGCCCGAAGGTTGTAACAGATCACCGGCGATTCGGAAAAATCACGTAGCCGACGCGTAGTCCGATTCAAGTTGAAGCAACAAGCATTGGCGGCAGAATGATAACAATTGTTAACTGCCAAGTGTTGCTTCTGCACTTGCTTTGAGCTTTTACGCAAAAGCTTCGCAATATCATTTATTCTGGTGTCGAAATCGACTATTTTGCGTACGAGTGGCACAGTCAGCACCAGATAAGCGGGAAATTATTTTATTTCTATGAAATTATTATTTTATTTCACAGAAATATTTAGGTCTCTAAGGATTGAGCTTAGAATTATAAATAGTTGGGCATTTTGAAGTAAATATTTTTATAATAGGCTTTAAAAAAATATAAATCTGCTCATCGGCCTTGGATGGGAATAGCACCTCATTCGTAGATCCAGTTGGTAAGAGCCAGGTTCCAGGAGACCAGTTCCTTCTCCTCGAACCAAATGGCTATTTCCTTCTCGGCAGTTTCGACGGCACCCGATCCGTGGATGATATTGCGGCCGACATGGAGGCAAAAGTCCCCGCGAATGGTTCCGACTAGAGATTCAGAGGGATTAGTCGCTCCCAACATTTGGCGGCACGCCTTGACCACGTTTAAACCCTCCAAACAATATGGGAACCACTGGACAGGAGGTCATGTGCTTACAAAAATCTGAAAAGAAGGGCCGTTCGCACAGGTCGGCGTAGTGCTTCTCCAAACACTCCTTGGTGGCAAAAGTCAACTTTATGACGACAAGTTGGAATCCCTTTCGCTCGAAGCGATCGATGATCGTGCCAATGAGTCCTCGCTGAACTCCATCCGGCTTAATCATTATTAGAGTACGCTCCTTGTTGCCAGCCTTTGCTGCGCAAATGATGTCCTTCAACATTTTTCCGGTTACTCTCATTTTAACTTTTTGAGTTGAAAGGTATTGCAAACACTGTTAGTTATCTGTTCTTCATGTATAGGATATATTCAAAAAGTCATTAGAGATAACGGTGCGGCGGAAACAAAAGAAATTTAAATTTTACCGCCAAACTTAAAAAAACATGAAGATGTGGCAACGCCAAACTTTAACAGCTGATTAGGGGAAATACAAAATAGCATAACGCCTTCTGTTAAGTACTTGGTCTAGGTTGCCAGACTACGATAAGAAACAGAAAAGAACAAGTAACGACGATTTAGAAAAAATGCGAGTGTTTAAAAGTAATAAGCAAACAAGTTTTTAAGGTTTATGTTGAGTTAAATGCATAGCTATAATGCTTGCATTGTTTATTTCGGTTACAAGTTACAAGTCGCTGTGTGTTAAAGTCATAAAAAACTGGTTTGACTTGTTTTTGCGCCTGTTCTTTGTTTGGATGTGAATTGAAATTGCAACTGGTAAGGCGGGGAATCAAATGAAATCCTTCCCCCTCGAAGTACTCCAGACTACGTTGAAGGACTACAAAAAAAAAAAAAAAAAAAAACACCCCAGCGGCAGAGAGAAGTCAACGAGAGGTAAACATTCTTCGAGTTTTGGTGGGGTGTTTATATAAATCAGCTGATTGTCAGCGGTTGTGGAGGAGACCCACGCTCTCTTTCTCTCTATATGTGTCTTTTTCGCTCCCTGGGAGACAGCTAATCAGCTTGGTTCAGTTCGTAATTTTTTGAATTCTCCTGAATTTTCATTTCGAGCCATGCTAACGGTCGCTACGGATCGCTCGTTCTTCGGTTCCACAAAAGATATAGCCATCTATATAATTATTACGGTAATAATCAACCCAGTGATTGTGCTCGTGTGTGCGTGTGCGTGTGTGTGTCAGCTGCACTTTGCTTATCAGTTGCATTGACATAGAGATAATCGGCTGCGATTCACCAATCAAACTGAATTTTTTGTGGTTTAGCGGGTTTAGCCTTTGGCCCCTTTTGCCTCTACACACCCGTCCACCCCACACCACTGCCCAGTGATAAGCCGCAGAAAGCCTTAGAACTTGATATACTTTTAAGTGAGAACTACCCACTAAAAACTTAGTTGGCGATACTACAGCAATAATAACGCGCTTCTACCAATAGCGAAAGACGCGGGAATGACAGAGGGCCAATAAGTCGACGGCTAGGCCAACACACATACACAGAAACTAGTATCAGCTGCTCTTGAGTGAATGCACAAGTACTACATTAAACAAAAACTAAGAACGATTAAACGTGCGTCTCAATTGTTCAAAACAAAGGCTAGAGAGCGACGTGCTAAATATACGTAAATAATACACAATATTTGCATCATAAAGAAGAAGCTTTGAGTGCATTTCGCGAGCGCTACACAACAAATTCAAAACATAGGGCATATTGGTTTCAAAAAATCGTTAAAAATTGCTAAGTACTACTTATGTACTAAAAATCGTAATACTTATGTGTTTAACAACAGTGATTTGAGTATAAATATTAGTGACATTTTAAATTGACAAATGTGTATGGCGTGAATATGTAAAGACTTGGCTATTGTTACTGTAGCGCAATAATCTGGTGTCCCCTTTCCTCCCCCGCAGCGCACGTTCTTTGTGAGCGGAGAGCTCATTTTCATCTTTCTCGCTATACGGGTGGCAATAACAACAAACATTGTTTATAGCAGTGACGGATTAAGGGGGTTCTTACTAAACAATCGTTATTAAATTAAAAAAAATTTTAAGTTTAGGATAATATTTTTTTATTCCTTCCTTATACACCGGACAAACATTCAACCCCCTTAAACATATCTCTAAGTCCGCCCCTGGGTTGATAGTCTCTCATTTTACATGTGCCACCATGTGCTTGTGTGCTATTCTTGATTTTGGGGGCATGGTGTGATTAGCAACAGACAACTGTTCCCACCCGTTCGACTTTTTATTAAATGGTTGCCCGCCGGTCTCCCAGGGAACACTCCGCCTACGACCCCCTGCCCCACGCCCTTGAGAACAGCTAGAAAGCGAATGAACTCACACCGACAAGACGAAGAGCGAAATTAAAATTCAAATGAGCAACGAACACGCACACACTTAAGCAAATAATATTTATTCTAATTGTTTGACTGACGCTCCTCAAAAATTAACGCAAAAACAGGCCTACCACGAACGAGCGGAAAGAGCAAATTAAATGGAGGACGCGCGTTGAAGGCAGACAGATAAAAGCGAAACCGAAATAGGGTTAAGACTATAGAAAGGCCGCGAGATCAAAAGTGCTAAAAAATATATAAAGTCACGTCATGTCCAGTTGGAGTTTGGCCAGTGCGGTGTCGCCAAATGTGACCGGTGGCGATGCCATCCGATTGAGTACACTGAAGTCCAGTTCGGAAACCCATCTGTCATCGGGCGGATCGAAAGGATATGGAGGACATGGGGGCTCTGGAGGACTACCCCGGCCCACGACCCCCGTGCCCGCCAGGAAGTTGTCCTCCAAGCGACCGCCGCATTTGACCTTGAACATTACGGGCAAGTCGAACGACGCTCCACTGGCCGAAACGGAAAATACGGTGCTTTCCACCAGTGATTCCATCTACGGAACTCTCATGGGAGCCACGCCCTTCTCGTCGCCTGCCAACCAAAGCCACAGGAGCCAGAAGAGCCAGAATAGTGACGATAGCCGCCAAAGCTGCAGCACTGCCACCAGCGGAGGATCCATCTTTCCCCACGAACAGTACAAAACCATCAAGAAGATCAACATCGGGTTCGAGAACATACGCTACACCACCAAATTCGGAGTCTTCCAGAGAGGTAAGCTTACTGTCTTTTAATTGTCGGTCTCCATTAAATTGATTTAATTTCGTTTTCACTTTAAAATGTTCTGCATGTGTGGTTGTCGGTTAGAGTTCGATGCCAAGTTTGGGGATTTCTAATTTAGAAAAAAAATGCTTACATTTGTAGAATTCTCATATAAACAAAAATTGAAAAGAGAAAACATCATATTTGCAAGGCGTGATTTTGTGTTTCTTTATTTTCACACTTTGAGAAGATATTACATTGTTGAAAACCGATTCGGGGTCCAAAGTTTTGAATCCTACCTAAAAGCGGGCCTCTAAAGAGCATTCCCCAAGGGTCATAAAATTACTCGCTTGCTCCCAGTCACGCATTGCTGGCAGTTTTAATTAAGGGTTGGCCATAAGCTATATCATATGTCCGAGAGTGGCAATGTCCAGCCAACCCAATTAAAATTGACCAGTTCACTGCGACTGGAGTGAACTTTCGTACATGAGTTGCCAAAAATTATATTTTAATGGTAAAGCCATTTAAATTCAGATAGCGCTACAATTATTTAAATCATGACCACTGATTGTTGCGATATCTAATATATTCTCGGTTCATCAATCTTCAGATAAGGCCATTAAACATTGATTAATGTGATTTGCAATTCACATTTACGGGTCTCAGCTATATTTGTAGATTAGGACCCTTAGCCGTTATCATGCATGTCCAAGATTTAAATATGGGGCAAAGTCTATAATGCGGGGAAAAAATAAAGAAGAAAAAATCAGTTGCCTTTATTGGATATACTCGTATGTAACGACCGAAGAGCCTCTCAATTCATTATATTGATTGGGCGAATCACTGGGTTCAAAGAGCCTTATAAATTAAATTGATCAGAGCTTGGTCTCTCGCATAAGTAAAATAAGTGGCGGTCACTGATTTTTATCTAAATATAATTTAGGAAACCATTTACATGTCGCCGAGTGTGGCTGCCCTTTTGTTTACAATTCGACGATCCCAGAGCTTCAATGCTGATAACGTCGCTTACAACATGAATAAATACGCAATCGCAGTTACTTGAAACTTCTCTTGAACGCTATCGCTTTTTGCGGCTTTAACGAGGGACTAATGACAAGTGACTCACGCTAGTGCACCACCGATAGATAGCCATTCCCGAAAAGATACTTCGGTGGGCAGGTGGCCGAACTAGGTATCCCAGGTGACTCACGGCCTGACTCATTTAAGTATCCGATTATGATCCTGGTGGAAATTATGGCACGCGCCACCCGCTGATTACATGCACGATAAATCATGGACAAACATTATGTGGGGTAATTACTGGGCACTCGTGGCTAGATAGTTCAGGTACATGACTATAAAACGGAGTTAGGGCTTAGAAGAAAAATATACCTACACTGCACATTAATTAATCATATTCTTAGGTGAAACACGAAACTTTTTTAGACCTTTGAGTTACCAAGGCCAATTGTTCTGCTTTGACAGCAAAGCATAAAGTAACCTAAATTGGCTACAGTGTTACTTCTGCTCCATATCTACAAACTACCTTTATCAACTTTCCGTCACAACGAGTTATTGATAATAAAAGGCAGAAAACATACGAACATGAATTCTTTACTAATAACGTATTTTAGGTTACTAAAAATCAGCAGCTAGTAAAGGAAAATCGATTATTTTTATCTACATGCTTGCACTTATATAAAAGTTCCGATTTTGACGCATGCCGGACATGTGATAAATATTATTGTTATTATGACACTGAGACCTGCAAACATAATAATAATAATAATATATCCCGCAGTTAGATAGGAAAATTAGAAAGCGAGGGATATGAAAACATGATAAAACAGATTCTCGGCTTCATGAGAAAGACGCAAGCGTTTTAATTGATGTCAGTTAAGTTTCATTAAGTGAAATATCTGCTCTTTGTCTCCATGGATTTTCCGTTGTTCTTCGCGTGTCTTCTTTGTCGTAGTATTTAAGTGAGTTTTCTCAGTTTCCATTTTGAAAACGTTTCAGGCCATATAATATACACACAAAGAGCCCGACTTTTGAGATGAGTCAGGTGACTTGAGAGCGCCAGCTTCCTCTTTCCTATTAAGAGATTAGCACGCTCAAGATGTAATTGTTGGGGACAGTTTCCGGTGCGATCTGGGACGGATTTCTCAAAAAAAAAAAACACGAGAGTTCTGTCGGCATGTGCGTGCTTATATTTTTTGGAAGCCTTAAACGTCAATCTTTGAACATGAAGATAAGGGTTGTTGCATTCTCAAAATTGTATTTAATTACCAGTGCAATTACCAAGCAATTTGATAAGAAATTCTTTTCAATGACTTTACCCTGAAGTGTCCTTCATGTATTTGTTTTGGTAAATTTAATATAATATGTTTACGTAAACCAATAGAAATGCAGGTGTTACTCATAATCCCTCTTTGCAAAATGCAGTGCCAAGTACAAGGCCATAGAAACATTGATAAAGCCGCCAACTTCATCGAGGCGTTGGAAATGCAATAAAATCGTTGTACACCTGTTCGAGTTCAACATCTGGCTCACGGGCATAAAAAAAGACGTAAAGGCACTTTAACGACGATTTTGGTCATAGAACTCGTTGCGATAATATTCGACGACGGAGTGATTGATAAGAACTTGAACAGACCCCTGAAATCTAAATTGGCCAGAAGCTATGCCTAATCGGTAGATTATTCGACATTTTAAACAGACGACTACAATGTAGATGGCTCAAAGCTACAAAAAAAACTACCCACTGGAACTTATTGAACTTAAGGTTTTTTATGGCACGATCATCCATCGACTGGGGAGCTCAGAAAGAGGGCAAAAATGATTAGACAGCATTGAATGCCATTAATCGCAAAATGTGGGATTTGCTTATCACTGGGGGGATGTTTTATTTAACTCAATGTGAGAATGTGGGACACTCTACAATTAAAATGGTGGGCCAAGCAAATAAGCAATATAGAAATAAATTGATTAAAGTCAACTGGGAATCGGTTACAATTAAAGAAATTCACAATGTTATACGCATGCACTCATTTATCAATATTATTTATAAAATGTATTTTCTAAGAAAAGTTTAGTTTACCTTAATCTACTATTTTACCACTTTAGCTAAATCATATTCTTATCTTAAAATTTAAATAACGTCACCTTTTGCTTGATTTCTAGTTTGATTTAACGCACTTACTTACTTAATTAAGTAGAATTTCCTGAAAATTGAAGTCTGTCAACGATTAGGTTACCTTATCGAACTGGCTTAGTGGTAATCAGGTAAAAATCCCGCCAATAAATGTAGTGTTACCTTCTTAGGTAATAGTTTGCATTTTGTAGATTTTACGGCATTATTTTATTGAATTATTTTCCAAAATTAATACTTAGTACTTCTTTGCAGAAATCAAGGATGTGCTGATGGGATTGACAGGCTATTTTAAATCGGGAGAGCTTAGTGCCATTGTTGGACCTTCAGGAGCTGGAAAAAGCACCCTGCTTAATATCCTCTCAGGATACACGTAATGTTAGCCCCAATATTAGACTCCTTTCCATCCTAGCTGACGAATATCTATTTCAGAATGTATGGATATACAGGCGATTTTCGGATAAACGGCAATCGACGAGATCTCAAAGCCTTTAAGCCGAACGTGGCCTTTATCCGCCAGGATACGAGTCTTCAAGGCCTTTTGTCCGTTAAGGAGGCGATGCACTTTGCAGCTAATTTAAAAATAGGAACCCATATGACCTTAAGTGAGAAGAAGGAGCGGGTGAAGAGCATCCTGGAGGCGATCGGGATGTACGATAACCGGCACACGAAAACGGGACAACTCAGTGGAGGCCAAAAGAAGCGTTTGGCAATCGCCTTGGAGCTGGTAAATAACCCACCGGTGCTGATTCTGGATGAACCAACCACGTATGTTGATGTTAACCATATCAAATATTTAAATCTAATAAGAAGTTTACGATTTCAGTGGCTTGGATAGCTCCACCTCCAATCAGCTAATAAATCTGCTCAAGAAGCTCTCCCTCGAGGGACGAACTGTGATTTGTACAATCCACCAGCCAAGTGCCTTGACCTTTGCCATGTTCGACCATTTGTATGCCATTGGCGAGGGCAAGTGCATTTATTCGGGCGGACCCCAAAACCTACTGCCCTTCCTCGGAGCCCTCAATATGCACTGCCCGGAGTCCTACAACCCCGCGGACTACTGTAAGTTCAGTAGTTATGTTTCTTTTGAGAAAGGAAATGACAAGATCTTATTCAACAGTAATGGAAATAGCCACTCATGACTACGACACGGAGGAGGACAACCAGCTGGAGAAGTTGGTGGCCCTGATGGACAATGGTCGGAATGAGGATTACCGACAGAGCAAGTCTGCTCGAATTGCTCAATTGGCAGCTATGAAGAAAGTTGGTAAGACATAAAGTTTCCCACAAAATTCAAAGAATCTCGAATAACCAAGTACCACTTTGTTTTTTACAGATCAACTAATGGCAGCGGGTATAATCACACCCGTGAATGCGCCCGTAATGGCAACAACGGCCCCATCGCACTCCCATCAGGGCGGTACTTTTAAGCCACTCACGCCCATCAATGAGCTATCCTCGCGGGTGTGGGACAGCCAAGCTGCGGGAGTTGGTAGCGGAGATGTTGGAGGAAAGTCAGCCGCAAGTTGCTGTAAGCCAAAGAAAAAGAAGAAACCCAAGCGACCCCTGGAATTGGATCCCTCACATTTGTGCAAGAGGGAGAACATCTACGCAACTCCCTTCTACCGCCAGTTGAGTATTCTGTTGCTAAGGACCTTCCTGCTGATTTGGCGGGACAGCTCGCTAACCACGATGCGGTTTGCCATCCATCTGATCACTGGACTGCTAATAGGAACCCTGTACTTTGGAATCGGAAACGATGCCGCCCAGACGTTAAATATCTTCCGCTACCTATTCTACACGATCATGTTCATAATGTACTGTGCGTTCTCGGGGATATTGGTAAAGTGTAAGTATTGTCTGAGTTACAAAATTTGAGATACATTAACAGTAAAATCTTACAGTTCCCCTGGAGTTTCCGATTGTCTCCCGGGAGCACTTCAACCGCTGGTACTCCTTGCGCGCATATTATGTGGCCATCACCCTGGCGGACTTGCCCATCCAGGTTATCTGCAGTGCCCTGTTTATGGTGCCCACCTATCTGATGACCAAGCAGCCCCTGGAACTCTGGCGTTTCGGTCTCTTCTTCCTGATTGTGTTCGTCACGGCTCTGGTTTCGCAAAGCATCGGATTGGCGGTGGGCGCGGCGCTGAGTCTGAAGCTGGGCTCCATCCTGGGACCCTTCTTTATCTGCCCGTTCCTGCAGTTCAGCGGCTTCTTTCTGATGGAGAAGGACGCCCCGGCATACATGCGCTGGATGTTCGACATATCGTTCCTAAAGTACAGCCTGGAGGGATCCATGATGGCCATCTTCGGGTACGGTCGCGAGAAGTTGGTCTGCGAGGAGATGTACTGCCACCTCTTGGCGCCCAAGCACATACTCAAAAGTCTGGACATGGCCGACGGGAGCTATACGCTGGCCCTGATCTTCCTAATTGGCGTATTGGTCTTCCTGCGCATTCTGGCCTTCTACATAATGTCCTTCCGCCTCCGATTGTTCAGATGAGACACTGGGTTCGAGGGGCCTGAGGAAACCTGCCACATTCCGCCGAAAGCTACGTGTTTTACTTTTATACTTGTGGTTTCTTGTTAAGCATTTATTCGAGAGAGAAACTGATGTGCCAAAGATTTGAGAAGCCTGTAGAGCGTAAGGAAATCGTGATATATATGAAACAAAGGATCATAGAGCCCTCATACACACTGACAAACATACACACACGGCGGTTAGCGAGACCAATAACTGTAAATAGAACATTTTTGTAGCATAGCGCATACGCAATTGTATTTTTGAATTGTATTAACGAATCATTTATTGACTAGTTGTAACACTAGCCTGATTTTAAGGCTGCGAGAATGACTTTGAAAATATTATTAAAAATATTTTTCCATGAACCTTGCGTTTTGAATAGCTATCTTGTTTGAATTGTTTTTTTGCGCTGGGAGTTTGCCTGCTTCAATGTTAAGTCACGACCTTGAATTAAAATATATTTTAATCGTGTTAGATTTTAAGTCAGTAGCTTGGAAGTAGGCTACAAATTCAGATCAAACCTAAATGCAACTTGAGTGCACCTCAAACTTGTTGTCCAGACGAATTGCGATTAATAGCAGTTGCCGGCTTGCGACTTTTGAGCAAATTAAGTCAGTCGCATTTTGAATATCATCATAAATTGGTCGACACCGGGGACCGCTCAAATAAACCCCTCTGACACTCGCCTAATACGATCGCGACTTGAATCTTAATTGACGGAGCCAAACAAAATACAAATAAACACAAAGTCGCGGTCAATGGTGATAAAATATCGATTCATGCCTCGAAAAAGGTATTTCAATAACAATAAACATTGAAAATTCAAACTTGGTGTTACTGTATGGTGCACAAACCAGATTTTCATTAATCATTAAATCCCTAACCCGTTTTGCAAGAAAAAACAAGTGAAAAAAAGTACAATGATTTGTTGTTGTTTTTACCGACCGCTGCAACAACAGATTTTCCGGGCAAATAAAAGTTAGTGATAAGCAGCAGCTGCTGAACATTAAAACTAAACAAAGGAAATTTCAATGTCTAATTTCTATTATATCCCTCAGTTCGAGCTGCGTATATCAGTACAATGTAAATGGGTGTGAGCTATCATCAGCGGTCATTGTTTCGTGTTGAATTTTCTGTATCAATTACCCAGTGCCGCCGGTCAGCCAATTGTTAATTTCACTCTCTAAAGAAGGTCAGACGAAAACCCAGAAATTAGTGCTGACTTTTAGGCGGTAGTGGAAAAAAGTTGCCAATCAGTAAAGATAAAAAGATAACTTTAAAAAATAGAACGGAAAATGGTATTTTGTAAAAACGAAATTAATTAGTTTCCTTAAATATTCATTAACTATAAGAATATGCAATATATTATCAGTTAACAAGTGCCATCTTTTTATTGCGTAGTTAAAAAATCACTTCTTATGATTTGTAGCTCCTATCCCAGAACTCGACTGACCTCCGACAAGATCCAAACCAAATCGAGGTGAGTGGGACTGCAGTGATCTAGAGCCCCATTCATCGAACCCATACCAGTCCTGTCGAACAGGTTCCATTGGGTTTGACGACCTTGATCCAATCCAGCCAACCCCAGCGATAAGATTATCCGCGATCCTCCCTAACAGTCATTCCAAAGATAAGCTCCGAAATGTACCAGCTTTAATCGAGTTAAGAGAGTTCTGCATTTATTAAGAATCGATCGATCGATCCCGCGTTCAGTTCACTGCCTTGCTGACCGGCTTTATGTTCGGACCCTCGCATAAACAAAAACCGTATATAATCAGTCCGCACACGGGTTTCTGGTTCATAAACAACAATCAGCCGCCGTTCGATGGCCGATAACGCAGTCCAAGTTCAGGCGAATGGCCTGGCCCAAAAGCAGAAGGCGCTGGAGCTGCATTTCAGCCAGGTTGGCTACAGTTTGAAGGGGGCCGCAAAGGGATCCAGTCCCATATTGAACGAGGTATGTGGGGTCTTCAAATCGGGACGACTTACGGCCATTCTGGGACCCTCGGGAGCTGGAAAGTCCACAATGCTGAATGCACTGGCGGGTTTCAAGTGAGTAAACTCCATTAGGAAATAGTAAGCCAATTTATTAATCATTTTACAGACTCCAAGGTGTAACTGGGCAGTTCCTTTTGAACGGTCGTCCCAGGGATATGCTAACCTTTCGGAAAATGTCAGCCTACATTGCTCAGGATTTTGTGATGCTGAATCTTCTGACTGTGGAAGAGACGTTACGTGTTTCTGTTGATCTGAAAATGCCCAGTAGTACAATACCTCAGGAAAAACAGAAAATTGTACGTGGCAGATTTTATATTAAAAATACAAACCTAATGCTGGCATTCCCAGATAGACGACATAATCGACATATTGCAGCTGCAGTCCTGTCGCCGGACCTTGGTAAAGAATTTGTCCGGAGGCGAGCAGAAAAGATTGTCCATCGGCATCGAACTGGTCACGAATCCGCCCATCATGTTTTTCGATGAGCCCACCAGTGGACTGGACTGCGTGGCCAGTTACCAGGTGATTTGCCACCTGCAGCGATTGGCCCACGATGGCAGGATCGTGGTCTGTGTGGTCCATCAGCCGGGATCGCGACTCTTCCAACTCTTCGACGATGTCCTGGTTTTGGCTCACGGGGAGGTTCTCTACGCCGGCGAACAGCGGGAGATGCTGAGCACCTTTGCGGAATCGGGTTACGTTTGTCCACAGTACTATAATCCTGCAGATTTTGGTAGGTCTTTAAAAAAGTATTTAATCATATGTGTATTTATAAAATCCTTAATTTTAGCCCTGGAGATTTGCAGCCAATCCACAACCACAGAGCGCTGTGAATCGCTTATTTCCCAGAACAAGATGAAATATTGCAACACCAGCAACATTGTGAAGCTGCAAGTTGATGAAGAGAGTAAGTGATGAAGGTCGGGTCGATTCTCAGGATGTTTTATCTTATACAGACTTCATTTCCCACCTCTGCACTGAATTACTTTTTCTTTTTACTGCACTTTTCCTTCCTCTGCTCTATCTGTCGCATTTCTCTGTCCGCTCAAATTTACTTTCAGCAGCGCTGATTGATGTCCACAAGGATACTTCGGACTTGGCCCATCTGCGGAGTAAGGAGCAGGTGGGCTTTTGGTTTCAGCTGAGCGTGCTACTTCGTCGCCATTTGCGCTCTATGTCGAGGGACTTGGTGGGTTTTAGTTTAAGGATCTCATTTCATATAATCCATCATAGATTTAATAACACTAACGCTCTTCTAGGTGGCAGTCCAGATGCGTGTGGTGATGCACGTGGTGGTGGCGCTACTTTTGGGCGTGGTCTACTGGCAAGTTGGTGGCGATGCAGGCAAAATCATATCCAACGTGTCCTGCCTGTTCTTCATTATCCTGTTCGTGTTCGCCGGCAATGCGATGCCCTCCATCCTGCTGTGCATGCAGGACTCGGCGGTGTTCATCAGGGAGTACTACAACGGCTGGTACTCACTGAGTGCCTACTACTTATCGAAGGTCCTGGCCGATCTACCCATGCAGTTCACCTGCCCCACCCTGTTCATCAGCATCGGGTACTTCATGTCCGGCCAGCCACCAGAGCTCCATCGATTTCTCATGTGCTGGGGCATTTGTGTGATGACCGCGTTCATCGGCCACTTCATCGGGGTGATCGCCGGATCGCTGTTCCCCATGCAGTTGGCTATTTTCCTGGTGCCGAGTGCCACGATTCCGTTCCTGCTGTTCTCCGGCTTCTTCATCCGCCTGAACGAGCTCTCCTGGTTCCTGCGTCCCATCTGCGACGTGTCCTTCTTCAGGTACATCTTCGAGGGCCTGATGAGGGCCATCTACGGTTACGATCGCGGGGAGCTGGAGTGCCATGCCACATTCTGCTACTATAGGACAGCGGACAAGTTCCTCAAGGACTTTGAGATGCAGGGCGACGAGTTCGATTGGGACATGGTGGTGCTGGGAATGTTCCTGATCCTCCTGCTCCTCGCTTTCTTTGTGACCCTCACTTCGGTCATCCGACGAGCTCTTCGGTGATATCGTTAGTTTTTTATCTGGGACTTAAATGTATTGAAGCTTAAAAAATAATTTAAAGGCGGATAAAAGTTATTAAGAATATACATTTATTGTTTTTTGAATCGGATTAAATTAGGTATTTTACAAACTTCATACACGAATTCTACATGGCTTTTACTAGTGACGCTAGCCAAGTCATGAACCAATACACTTACATAGATAACCTGGGAAATAAAATACTGAAAATGTAAGTATGTAATATTTGAAGCGTTCTACTATCTTATTTTAATTTAAATTTAACATTTTCCGTTATATATAAATTTTTTTGAAAATCAAACAACACGGTTAAAACGGAATGGCTTTTTAGATTAAATCAAGTTATTTTAATCCGATTCCACTTTTTATTTTCGATCCCAGCGCTTTTCTCTCCCTGAAGTTGTCGCCGACAGCCAACATATGTACATATATCCTGGCACAGACATATTTCAAGCCTTGAAAGCCTCGTTACTTGCAGCCAAAACACACACAGACCTCGCTGGTGTGTGCCATATAGGCAAGACCATCTTGGAATTCGGGCTGACTTACTGTCGCTATAGCCCAAAGTCCCGTGGCCTTTCTGCATCTTCGACACTTTTGGGCTTTGCCCCGAAATGCATTTTGCCAAGCTTTTTGTGTCGTCTCCGAAACTTCCGGCGCGGGGAGGAAGCGGAAATTCTATTATTTTACCCGCAGTCATGTTGCAAATAGATAGCAAATTCGTTTAGGACCATTTCCCTCTGAGCCTTTCACTCGGAAATGCATGTGTTTGGGTTGCGAGCGAAGTCAATTAGCGTTCTTTGGGTTGGCAAAGGGCCTAATTAAATGATGTGTAATGAGTAGCCCGTTAGCCAGATTTTGACTCCTCAGGCAGATAAGCCGCATGTGTGAAGAAGTTTAATACGGAGAGGAAGTCGCCGCCAACTGGCATTAAGTCAATTTAAAACACAAACAATCTCGGCAGACAGCAAACATTGGCGAGGTCAGACAACATTTTAAAGTGGATCGGAAATATCTGCAAAATTTAAGCTGCCAATTGAAAAGTTCGAGCCTTTTTTTGTTGGCAGAAGCATATGAAAAGTTTCTGGGCCCTGTAAATCCCCAATGACCCAAATAGAAATGCCGGCGAACTAAAACTTTTCTGAGTGTGAATGTGGAAATACAGACACGAATTCAGATTTCCAACGTAGGTGGAAGTGTGCTAAGTACTTTTGACCAGAGGGAAAAGTTTCCATACGAAACAAATATATTTAATTAATTTGAAATAAATTTTGATTGATAACTTTTACCCTGTAAGTAAATTATTTGCGCAACGTCTGCACTATTTAAGTAAAGAAAAGTCAGTAACAATCAGGTTACAATTACTTTGACTTATATTTATTTTTTTTTATATTTTCAAGCCGAAACAAAGACCCATAAAACTATAAATTTATGCCTTACCGCAGACAACAAATTGCTTTATGTAACTTTATAAATGGTATCATGTTTTCGTATAAATCAAATCCAACATATCTGCGAAAAGTGCAGCAAACTTTACGGGAAAAACACTTTTGCTTTTATTGTATTTATTTCGTGGCTGCCTCAAGACGATGCAAGCCACGCCCCCTATGCCCCCGTCGCCTCGATCGCCGTCAACCTTGGAAATTTATGTGGTACACTTGTTACACATACGACATGTTGGACGTGTGCAGCGGCTAAGACAAATCGATTGCTGTTGCCGCCGCTGCAGCCACTTCTTTTGTGGCACAAACAATGGCAAGGGCATAATTTATTGAACACTTTGTTGCACTTGCCACCGCGCAGCGACTCTCGGACTTAACCTCGCACTTGGGTCAGATAAGCTCTGTTTTCTGTAATTTAACAGAGTTTTTTTGTGGTTTTGGTCCTCACTTTGAGCAATTAAAAGTGAAAAAAATATAAAAACCATGCAATCCCACTTTGAACCAGTTGAAATGAGTCAAAGGTTGACGTTTAGTATTTGCGGAGAACCATTTTGACAGCTTCAATCAAGGACATTTTGCTTTGATTGCTAAAATTTCAAAGTCAGATTGAATTACCACATCTTCTCAAAGTTGAATGCGCTTTTAATATTCATGGGCTTTCTATAAATAGCAAACAGTTTGTTTTATCAATAGCTCTGGTTTTTGGCAGGCTGGCCCAGGACAAACTCACTTCTGGCATGCAAACACCATGCCATCGGATTATTAATGGACTATGCGCATTTTGTGCACTTCATAATTTATTTCCCGCCATTAATGAAAATTTAATTGTTGCAGCCAACGCAAACAAAATGTCGTAAATTTTATTGACACTATATGCGAAAAATTAAATTATAATGAAGTTTTCGCGCGTAATTACCAAAACATTTATTAAGTTTATGGCCTTTGCCATGTTTTTACTGGCAGCACAAAATGCTTTGACCCCGGGTTTAATTATACCGTTTGAAAATGTCTAAATTTAAAAGGGACAAACAGAACCGAAGGTAAAAGAAACCCAAGGAAAGTAAGCGAAGTTAATTGAAATAGTTTCACAATCGCAATTTTGTTGGCTAACTTATTGCTTTATTTGCTTTAGTTCTCTTATTCTTTGTTGGACATTATTTCCAATGAAGTGCTTTTAACAGGTAATTTACGCTCTTAAATTAAATTAAATGCAAAATTTAGTAGCTATATTCCAGTTATATTTTAGTTAATTGCCCTGCAGTTCTAAGTTATTGATCAATACAATCTCATTTCATAATTGACTTTCTTCACCGCATTCCGGAAGTGCACTGTCCTTTGATTCTCTTCCGGTGCTCTGGAATGCGGCAAACAGACTACGCGTTTCCGGTTATGAATCGCCACTCTGCTTTTCGTTTCGATTGTCTGTGGCTTTGCAAATTGTTGGCAGTTGTTTGGCCGCTGTTCGACTGAAAGTCCGTGACACGAAATTGCATCCTGTTGGCTGCCAAAAACTTACATAATTTAAGTGCAAAGTGTGCAACAGATTTTTGTTTGTTCCGCAAATCCCAGCTCCTCTATCCAAAAGCATTGGTGGCTTAACTTTTAGCAGGACATTGGAAGGGCTTCACTGGCTTCTAATTCTATTTTGCCCATCGGTTTTCTGGTTCTGGTTTATTTTTAGCTCTTTACCGGCTTTCCACACACAAAGTGTGTCCCGAGTAAATATGGAAATCCTCAATCACAACACAGCAATATTTTGCCCGTCTCCGCTTGTTTACTCTTGGGCATTGTGGTTGCCAAAAAATTCTATTTTGGTTAGTCTTGTGGCTTCCCCTGTTGGCACATAAATATGCATGAGGGCGGGATGCGGCAAATGTGTTTGCATAATGGATATCTAATTGATTTGGGTCGGCTTCAATTGGCACCAGGCATTTGTCGAGCTAAAAATAATCAAAGATTTATGTGCACTGACCAGCAAATGATAATAATGGTGTTGTTATCCTCTTAAATTGAGTTTGTCTGCAGTGTGAAATGTGAAAGTTGGAATTAATTTCTACCAATAACTAAATGAAAAAAAAAACTTAGGGATAATAGATGAAGCTTCGAAGCAGAAACTACTGACGAAATGTCTCGTTTGGGAATAGTTTATGGTGAATATATTTTGCTCCCTGGCCCAAAAATAACTCTACTTGGCCATAACTCCGACTCAGTACTCAGTACTTATTTTGGATTACACTCCCTAAAAAGGGCAAAGGGGTAATAAAATCTGTTTATGCTCCTTTTATGCCAGCCCAAGCTGCCGAATATCACGCAGCTGGAACCGAGGGACCCTGCTCGCCATTTCTGGAACTTCTGGCACTCGGTTTTATTGTGCGAGTGGTTCAAGGTCTTGGTGGGTTACTGCTGGAATCCCAGTGGGTGGTGCAAACAGTTTTGGCTAAATGGTTGCAGTCAAAGGGAAATGTTTTGTGGAACTTTTGGCCCAAAACTAAAGATGCATAAGAGAGTGGTAATCCCGGCAAATGGCGGCTAAATGCCCAAGTTCTCCCAGAGGCACTGGAAGGCACTGGCTCTGAGTGTCTCCCCGCCCCTTTAAAATGGGCGAGTACTTATATTTTTCATTTCTGTTTCGTTGTTTCTATCGCAACTTCTGCCGGGGCGGCCAGGCAATTTTCCATGCCGAGGAGCAGCTGCTCCCAGTGCACTTGCCACCGCAGAAGCCATCATTTAGATTGCGAATTTTCAACTGCTCCGGCATCAATCAACGGCGGCCAGTGAAAGTATTAGCCCTGGCCAGGAAACTTTTATAATTAGCTGCTGCAAGGAAGCGGCGAGTGCAACGCAATCTAATTAAAGCCCTGGGAGCCATTGGCCCGAAAGCATCCTCTAATCAAGCAAATAAATTGGGACTTAACTCCGGCTTTGTATCACTTTCAATGAACTTTCCAGACGCGCCGAACTCTTCCAGTGCTCCAGTGAAGACAGAAGACAGAAGACAGAAGCCAGAAGAGACCAACAATTAGTTGGCCCAGACTAATCAGGCCTTTGAAGTGGCTTCCTAAATGCATTCAGTCATTAGACCTGTTCCACAGATGCCTCATGCCTCATGCCTCATGCATATTGAAATGCCTCAAATTGTGTCCTGGCATATGTGATTAGCAATTCCGATCGACTGGTTCGGTGCTCGACGTGTATCCTTTCAGACGACCGGAAACAGGAAGCTCCTGCAGAGAGACACACGGAGCCAACCCTCGACGCAATTAATTTAGAGTTTTTGCAATAGAATTTCGTTATCCAGCCAGGAAATTGGCACTCGTTATTGCTGTTGGCTGCAGTGGCTTCCTTGGGGTAATTCCCTGTTTCCATTTCAGACGAAACTCTCGAATCTGAAGGCTATAATTAATTAAAAACAGCAACGTTATTTATATTCCGCAAAGCCGGATATAATTCCTCATAAGCTTATATTAAATAAAATTTTGGCAACACGCCCCATCTTGTCAAAACATATTTGGCAGTGCACAATCGCTGTGAGGAAAATGAAAATGTAAATTGCCTGCGGCGTTGGATATTTGCATTGGCTCTTGGCTAAAAAGCCACACAAGTGCAGCCACTGCAAATATGAAAAT